TCCATTGACAATCCAAATTGGATGAGATGGATATCAACGCTGTGACATCAATATCCAGCAATGGCAAAAAAGGAAATAATATAAACCGTGCGAGTGAAGCCAAGAGGAAATTCAACTGGATGCTTTTCGTGATTTGAACTTTAGTTATTTGTAGAGGTGTTTAGTAAACGTGCTGTTTTTGGTTTGCGTTGTGTTTCATGTTAGTTATATCTCTTGTAGGTGATATAACGCGTTATGTAATGAATATCCACCTTGAACTATAAGTGTACTTGTTCAGTTTTGTTTGTAGGGGGCATTTCATTATATGTTTAATGTCCAATACATTTTGGCTCAAGGTGGTATTCATTACATTATCGCTTTAGCTGTTGCTTTTAATTTTTCCCCCCCACCACACCTCTTTAGGCTTCACCCTATTCGCACTTGCTTTCACAGACGTAGAGCATTGTCTTTCACTGTAGACTTCAGTGGACTGATTGTATCCAGATCCTCGCCATTTTGCATTCGCTAGGCTTTCAGACCGTTCGATGTTTGGCTTTCCAGCTCTTTCCAACAGAGCATATAGCATTCGAGCTCTTTCCAACAGAGCATTGGCATTCGAGCGCTGCCCACCAGCGCCAACAAGAGGGACATCCGTTTACACCTCCAATCAGAATTCGCGAATTCATGTATTTCTGCGTTCCCCAATATGTCCAAGACATTGCGGGGGTTGTTCGATCCATTGACAATCCAAATTGGATGAGATGGATATCAACGCTGTGACATCAATATCCAGCAATGGCAAAAAAGGAAATAATATAAACCGTGCGAGTGAAGCCAAGAGGAAATTCAACTGGATGCTTTTCGTGATTTGAACTTTAGTTATTTGTAGAGGTGTTTAGTAAACGTGCTGTTTTTGGTTTGCGTTGTGTTTCATGTTAGTTATATCTCTTGTATGTGATATAACGCGTTATGAAATGAATATCCACCTTGAACAATTTGGAGATCATGCTACAATGGCTTTTTCAGGTGAATTTTTGCAAACATTGAACTTGAAAGCGGAGGACAAAAACACCAATGAGGACTGGCAGCTTCAAGTTTGGGGGACTCCTTGGACTCCAGACGAGTTCGTGGACATGTCCGTCGCGGGCCATCCGGCCAAACTTTAATCCTTTTTGCCACCGATCCTCATGGACTGCATTGGAAAGTCGTTGAAACAGTCATGCGCGCAACGCATGGCCCATAGGGCTCAAGCCCTGAAGTACTGGTTGAGGAGATCGCTTCAGCTCAGAAGTGAAGAAAGTGAACTTGTGGCAACATTGGAACCTGGAGTTGCAGAAGTTTTGCAGGGTAAGAGGATCCTTGTTTGGAAAGAGATGCTCCAGTCAATCAGCTACAGCGACATGGGTGTTGTGGATGAGTTCTGCGCTGGCTCAAAACTGACTGGGCAAACGGAGCTGACTAATTTGTGGCCGTCGAAAGTCACCCCAGCTACGATGACAGAAGAGGAGCTGCATTCCCAAGCCAAGCTGCAAAGGAATGACCTTTCATATGGTCAGGTTGTTTTCTTTGACTCCGAAATTGCACATTCCGTTTGGGACCAGACATTACAGGAAGTTGCCCGTGGAGAAGCAGAGGGACCTTTTGACCTGAATGAGGTGCCATCGCATTTTCCACTTAGCAGACGTTTTGGTGTCAAGCAGAGTGGAAAAATCAGGTGTGTTGACAACTTCTCATGGTCTGGTATCAACGCTGCATCCCAACCAAGGGAGAGTCCGAAACCTCATACTCTCGATGTTGTGGCAGCGATGATCAGTGCAGTCATGCGCCATGCACAAGGTGGTCATGCTTGGTTGGCAAGAAGTTTTGATTTGAAAAGCGCATACAGGCAGTGCGCAGTACACCCTGCGTCCCGGCAGTTCTCGTACATCGTTGTCGGGGATCCCAACGCGCTGGCCCTGAAGGTTTTTCGCCTCAAGGCACTTCCTTTTGGAAGTGTGAAGTCTGTCCACAGCTTCCTTCGAATTTCACATAGCTTGTGGGCCATTCTAACTTCGATCTTCTGGGTGATAACCACCAACTACTTTGATGATTTTGTTTCTCTTGCAGAGTCCCGTGAAGCCGCATCAGTGGATTACACAGTCAAAGCAGTGTTCAAGTTGCTGGGTTGGCGGTTCGCGGAAGATGGACCAAAGGCATCACCTTTCTGCGACAACTTGGTGGCGCTTGGTGTGGAGCTTGATGTATCAAAATTACATCATGGTGCAGTGCAGATTGCCAACATTGAGGGCAGGCGAAACGAGCTGGCTGGATCGTTGGACCCAGCCATTGCATCAAAATCTTTGACAAAGCTTGAGGCCCTCCGACTGAGGGGAAGGATGCAATTTGCGTCAGGCCAGTTCTATGGGCGTTTGGCCCGCCGTTGTCTGGCAGTGGTGACACTACATGCTTACAGCTCTGAATCCTCCATGATATCCGAAGGTGCTGTCCACGCTCTGTCACGGTTCAGAGACATGTTGGTCAATGGAGTGCCCAGGGTTATTTCATCCAAATCCTTGGCAACATGGTTTCTGTTTACGGATGCCTCACATGAACCTCAAGCAGCGGTGCCGTTCTCTGGCGTTGGTGGAGTTTTGGTTGACCAGCTTGGATGTAGACGCCGTTTCTTTTCTGAAAGGATGCCACAGGAACTTCTACAGGAGATCAATGTCTCCCAACGAAAGACAATAATTTTCGAATGCGAATTTTTCTCGGTGCTTTGTGCCATGATTGTTTGGAAAGAATTCTACATCAATACAATGTTGTGATCCATACCGACAATGATGCTGTGAGAGATGCTTTCATCGCTTGCCACACCAGCAGCAGGAACTCCCTTCCTATACTTGATGCCATCCTCAAAGCTGAGAATGAGGCAGAATGCAATTCATGGATCACGCGGGTACCGACGGAGTCCAACATATCTGACGATCCCTCACTCCTTCAGATTGACTACTTGCTGAGCTGTGGATGCTTGCGTGACAACATTGATTGTGCCGAAATCTGGTCGAACTTTGTGTGCAAATCTGGCCGTGATTTGGAAAGGGGAGGCGACAGACCAGCCTTGCACACCCCTTTGGACAAAAGACCGCACTGCAAGCGAGCATCGTCACAGCAAAATTTAGGTAAGCAAGACAACGGCAAGCGATCTAAATTTTGATGTGAGGTGATGAATCAACCGAGCTCTGGCTTACAGGTTTGAATGTCAAACATGTGAACTTGAAACAATGGTTTCTTTTTGGATGACAATGGTCGCAACTTCATACATCTTGTGTTTCTTTGTGAAACTTTTTCACGCCCACCCTCAGCCACCCTGGTTGGGGGTGTGTGCCAAACCCAAAGCCTGGCGACAGACCAGCCCAGCAGAATTTAGAAAATCATATTTTTGTACGTCCGCAATTAAAAAGTGAATGTCAGTACACATGTAAAAAAAGGTTTTGTATTCGGAAATTTCGATATTTGCTGGCGAGTGATTGTGAGAAATTGTTTTAAACACGTACACCCAAAAACACATATTGCCGCACAGTAGTGTCAAAAATATGCAGAAAATGCCATCGCAAAATCCAAACTGCAGGTGCTGACCTTTTGTGAGCCCTCAAGCGGGATTTGGCAACCGCAAAGTGTTGCACCCGACAAGATGCTGATTAACAAACGATTTTAACATTGTTTTTCGTTTGTGCGTAGCCTTCTCCAGTTTGGCTTACATTTGGAAATTTGTGGGCGGTTTCCTTGTCATTGTAGTCGACCGACGCAGACGACATGGCCCCAACAAGGTTCATGCTTGCAAAGTGTTGCTGTTGCAATTTCCACTTGAATTTCGGTTGTTGCAGGTGTTTGGATTACCATTCTTGAGATTCGTCAATACAAATTGTGTAGGTTCCACACGTTAGAACGCCTTAGTTTGTTGCTAGTTCAAGTGTCCAACTGTTCTGCTAAAGTGCATAAACCCAAATTATCTTAATCAAAACATGGTCATTAGGACAAATTGTCGTAATAAACTGATGCCATAAACAGACAAACGGACATCTTGTTTTTTGTGTGTCTATGTTCATTTTCAGGACCTATGGACCTGCAGTCGCTGTGGCAGCCTGTGCAGGCGTCCGTGGAAACCTTTTCGTTTCAATGCAAATTGAATGAATTGACATTCGGCATCTTGAGTTTAATCGTTTCAGATTGTAAAGATAAACTCCACTGTGCCGAGAAAACAAACATCCACCCCTGCCCCTCACCTCCAACCTTCAAAGTTCAAGGTCTTAACACCTGTTGAATATGATGAATGATTTATCTATTTTCAAACACGTTGAAGAACCCTTCAACCAACTATACCCAAATAAATCAAGATTGGTGTTTCCAAATCAGAAAAACAAACAATGATTATTTGGTGTCAATCATCGTTTTTTGAATATTTAGTTTTCAGTTTTCAATTCTTTTGGCCAATTTATATCAATTTACCAGGTGCAGGCACTGCCTTTCTCCTTCCAAGTGGCAACGGAAGTCGGTTCCTGAAGACCTTTGGGTCTCAGGGGTTTCGAGACTGTTTCGAGGGGGGTTGTCGTTGAAAATTCAATTCGCTTGGGGTTCGACGATTGAACTGCTTGCAAGGTGCCCCACCAGTTTCTCATGGGCATCCCACAAAAGGCATTGAGGCACAATGGAACCACTGTCGAACCACTGTGGGCACCGTTTTCTGTGAGAAGTTCATGTGCTCAACATTCTTCAACTGCTGTTGATCAGGGGAATGCTGGCTCCACACTTTCCGTCGCTAGGGGCTGAGGAAAATGTGATCTCGACTCCTGGGAACATCAACGAGCACCGGCCAAAATGGATATAAAATCTGGTATAGTTTTGGTCCTTTGTGACTACCTGTGTCTATTTTACACTTGATTTTCACATGGAACTGTTTCGACATGTGGTCCGAAAGTGACTATCCGGCGATCCACGTAAAATGCTGCATTTGCTGCATTCGAAGTCCGTGCTAAATTGAGGCCATGCCACTCGCACTTGGAACGGTGGCCGTTGCTGCGGCTCGCAACAACAGGCGCAAATTCGACCCGAGGAAAAACACGGCTGGTATGAGGGAGGATTCCTGATTTGCATAGCTGCTGAAACTGCAACAATCTGGAAAATGCAGTGGCAAACTTTAGGTGAATATGCCAGTACAGACTTCAGAGCGATTTGACACCTGTATGTGCCTGGTGGAACTGCAGAACAAAATGTAGGCAGCCAAAGGATTTCAGCACAATCAGAACACTGTATTTCAGTGTTTCCAGTGCACTATGACTCTTCAATGGTGTTTAGGAGACTCGAGACACTGAGCCTCTAAGATTTTGCCATGTCAGGCGCCAGACAAGCACCCGTCCAATTCTCAGACTGTTCTGTTCTGTAGTGGACAGCCCTATATTGAAGCAGTTGAAGCAGTTGAAGACGAGAAACTTGGAAAGCACTGGGGTCAATGCATTGAACGTGTTTATTGTTTTCTAAGTTTGTGTCCATGTTTTGGCTTTGATCATTCCCGCACTGTTGCTGCTGTTGTCGTCAATCTTGTCGTTTTGGCAGCTTATCTGACAGCTTCTACAATCCTATTTCCTGTTGTTTTTGTTATTTTTTTGTTCGCGATGATGGTTGTTGCTGGGTTTTCGTGTTCTCTTGTTTTTCTTGTGGTATTTCTATTTGGTCTTTTTGTTCTGGTGATTTTCCTTTTGTTTCTCTCATTCGCTTTGTTCTTCTTCTTCTTCTTCTCTTTGTTCTTCTTGTTATCTTTGTTATTCATGCCCTCTTTGTTCTTCTGTTTCTTCTTGTTGTGTTTATTTGTCTGGTTCTCTTTATTATATAATTGTATATTATTATCAATAATTATAATTATCGTTAGTATTCTTGTTCTTCTTGTCGTTGCTGCAATCTCCCAGATAGCAATCCACCCTTTCCACGCTTCATCTTGTTGTTCTGCCTACTGTAGGTGCTGTCCAACAACGTGCACCTCTACTGACAAACTTGGAGGCGGCATGGCAACATATGGCAACACTGCCTTGAGCAACACTGCCTTGAGCAACACTGCCTTGAGCAACATTTTGTTCACTTTTTTTAGATGCTTTGGGAACGATAATGAATTGAGTGAGCATGGAAATGTAAACACCTTTTTGCGCAAACAGTCCAAACAGTATCAACCAATATCACATCTTTTTACACAATCATTTGCCCTCAGTTGCATGCCTGTGGCATGACTTTGGTCTGCTGGGCCTGACTGTGGACGTTGGGCCATTGCGTCTTGAGACAGGATGCCATCCAGAACAAGTTGGAAGAGCGCTTGAAGAGGTGTGGCGGTGATGGTAGTGCAGCATTGGCACTTTGCGCCTCTAAAGATGCATGGATTTTAGATACTTCAGGCATTTCATCCATCCTGGAAGCAGGCATTCGTTGGTGACTCATAGCCCTTGACGTCAGGCAGCATCAGATCACCTCGGAGATGCAGCGCAACAACGATGCTTTCAAGAAGAAGTTGGAGGACCGCTGGCCAAACCACCAAACCCAGACAAGCTCATTTGCATTCAGCAGCTCATGATGCACGCTATACTTGTTTCGAACAAGAATGAATGGCAATGACTAAATGCAATGTTTTTTCAGCGCAAGATGTTGCACAAACGTTTGCAAACATTTTGCTTCGTTGGTTATGAATTATGAAGTGTCTTGCCTGATTTTGTCCTGGCCTCTTGGCCATGTCTAGGAAGAGTTGTCATCTCACATGCGCCGGGATCTTAATCCTCAGACTGCAAGATCTGTTTCGCAACAAACCATAACAAACCAACGAAATCCAACGAACTTCAACGAAATCCAACTAACAGAATTGGGATATGAATTGCAATGTATTCTGCGAGATTTTTGACGAGTTTTCGAGACGAGGCAGGTTGACCCTGAGGGATCAATGAAGTTCTCAATGCGCAAATTGCCACTGAAACCACTGAAACCCTTCGCATGGTGCAGTCGAGGCATGAAGGATCAATTGAAGACCCGAATTCGAGCGCTGCAGGTCGCATTTGTTAGTCTTGTTTTCTTTTCATTTTTCCTCTGAAGCGAATGGCAACTTTCGAGCTAGCAGCTAGGTGGAGTATTGAATCTATTTCAAGATGGACGGGAGTCAAACGTCTACTTTGAGACTGAACGATTTCAAGCTAAGGTCTATCGTAAGATTATGTTCTCTTACTTATATAGATATCAAGACAAGAGTATCTTGATACGAGGCTGTAAATGTGTAGATCATATAAGATTGATACTAGGACAAGTGCAGAATATTGTGCACTTACAGTTCACTTACCATTCGCTTTTTCTTTATCTTCTTCCTGTTTTGCAATCTTCATCTCACTTTCTTTACGGTATTCCTTTCAAAATGCTGTGTTTTCAATTGTTGTCGCGTGCTTTCTTATCTTACAGGGGTCTAAGCCCAGAAAGAAGTTCCGAACAGCTTTTGGTGTCGGCTCCGGGCTGATTCCGACAGGTTCTGGTTCTGGGAGGTTCGAGACATTTCGAGACTTTGTGTGATGTTCTGGTGTGGGTGAGGTCGTTCGTTCTGGGCTGTAGAGGTTCTGGTGATTCTGGAGGTTTTGGTGTGGGCCACGGTGTGGGTTCAGTTCCCTTTCTGTTGAGGCCACCTGCCCTTATTGAGTCCAGTTTCACCTCGTTCCAGACCCGAGTTTTTTTTTGCTTTTTTCTCCTCTGTTTCTATTTCTATCAGTTGATTGCCCCACGTGGCATATCTTGTCATCGTTGACATGAGCAGTTCGGAAGGGTTTCCAATCGTTTAGAGAAGGCACGGATCACATATTTGTGCGCTCAAATGCCTCAAGTATGGTGAGAATTACTTACATACTTGACATTACTGACATTACTTGACTAAGTGGCGTAAATTTCTTAGCTTCTGGCGACATAAGTTTTCAAATAGTGTCAAAGTCATCAATGGACTGGACGTCTGCCTTTTCAGTTGCCTTGCTCGCACGAGTGCTGTGCCCGTGCCCAGACCATCTACGACGATGCCAATGACAAGTTGGAGCTCTCGCAGTCCTTGTCACAAAAGTCCAAGGAGCAGTGAGTCCAGTGGGCTTTCTGTAGACATTGATGACTGCAACAACATCAACACAATCGTAACACAATCGTGACACAATCGTAACACAGTCAACACTTTCTTTTACATTTTCTGCAAAATTCGGTTGGATGTTATATTTTGCACACTTTCACTTTGGAGCAAGGTTCCAACTGCGGCAGAATCACCTCAGGTATCATATTGAAAGGATTCCATGGAACAGCTCTTGAGCAAAGCCTCCCCACTTCTCTCATTTTGCTCTTCACCAGTAAATGCCTGGGACAAGAGTTGCAGACGGAGCACGCTCCTTCCATCTGCATGTCAGTAGCTTTGGGATGCTTTGATGTGAGGACAGCTGCAGCGAGTTGGAAGACCAGGTTGGAAAACTGGAACGAAACCTCCGGTGCCTTGACTCATATTCAGAATTTCAGGATTTCGGTGGCTGCTTTTGGTGGACCCATAGAATACCCATAGAAGTAGTTAGCGAATCTGTGATGAGCGCCGCGCATGCGAGGGAAGTGGAGCAAAAGAACCGGGCTCGCATCTCTCAACTGGAGGGCGAGTCGAAGGAGAAGGAGGCGCTGCAGTGTTGCAGCATCGTCGGCATCATGCAGTCCAGAGTGACCCAGTGTTTTCTGGGTCAAAAGCTAAAGAATCCAAACAAGAGTCCAACAAGAGTCTACACTTCTACACATTAAACATCTTTGAACATGTCTAAGCCACAAAACGCAAATGCACAACTTTACTTTGACGATCTTTGACATCCAGGTGAAGCTCGACCAGCTTACCATGGCAACAGGACGTTTGCATGAAAGCATCAGGCCGTCACTTCACTCCAAAACCATCGAATTGTAGATCCAAATCAATCAATACGAGACAGGTACAAACTGACACATACTGATCCTAAGCCTCTAAGCACAGAGAAGGCGACATGATTGGATCTGAAGAGTTGACTTGCCAGGGAGCTGAAAGATACTCGTGAGGCAGTGTTATGATCGTCTTTGTGTTTTGGGGGTCTTTGCCCCAGAGTTGGCTTGGAAGAGATGATTTGGTCATCCTCAATTTGTGGCAGGTTGAAAGGAAGGAGGCTACAGAGCGGGACCGGTTTGACAGAGCACGTAAAATTGCAAGATGCATGTTTTATCCACAATGCCAGTAGCAGGAAGGAGTCTCTGTGGGAGTTTTCCTGAAAGTCTCTGTGCTTTTAATGTTTTGTTCTTGGACGTTCTTGGCCTTTGCTGATCTTGCGAATGTCCAGATATGTTGGACCAAAGCATCCCTTTGAGGACCAACAGATCCGCCAGACTTTGCAACTGAAGCAGACGGCGTAGCTTGGTTGAAAGATGTTGAAAGTCACCAAAAAAGCGAAGTGTCGCACAATAAAGACTTTGAATGTGCAAACAATGTTGGGAATCTGCCTTGCAAGTTTTGACTCCAACTCACAAATGTGCGTTTTGAAACGAATGCAGAAACTCTTTCTTGGAGTTATCTTTGACGAGGCTTCAACAAGCCATGCATCAGAACGAGCAGGCGATGCTTTACCTTGGTCTTAGGGATCCTGAGGTCGTCTTCGAAAGGATGAGTTATACAGATCCTAATATGATCTAATGATATCTAATGATCTAATCAATCATTTGATAAGTTTGTTATCATGTTGAACATGTTGACCATTTTGTTCTTGTTTGAGATCTGGGTGCAACTCTTTTGTCTTTTGGCAAACTTCGGCTTTTAGACTGCTCCCCGCTTTTTGTTTGCTTTGTACTGGACCAATCGACCCCTGCCAACCGGATGAGAGTTAAAATGCAACTCTTTGACGGATTCCTTTGACCGATTGACTCGAGTGACCCACAGCCATCCAGGCCATCTATAGTCTTGTGCGAACATGTTGTTTCAGAAGCTAGAGCTCAGCCAGGTTCAGACTGAGCTCCGATCTTGTCGTGATCAACTTGAAGCATTGACGCAAAAGGCAGGAGCGTGTCAAGAGCTTCTGACTACCATGAATGATTTGGAAAAGATGTCAAGAGTATTGAGAACCTAAAGACACTTTTATTAATTGTTCAAACAGTTTTTGGCTGATTCTCCTCATTTTTTCACATCTTTTGGTATCTTTTCACACGTATTTGCGTCTTCTGAGTTTTTCACAGATGGAACTGCTGTTGGTCACCCTGCCATGCCATGCTTTGTCACACCGTGCCACACCGTGCTTCATGACTCGCGTAACGACCACGTCGCCACATGCCGCCATGTCGCCACATGTCGCCACCATGTCGTGGCACGGCACAGGTGGCAGCTGCTGAAGGAGCTCTGCTGGCGCAGAACAACAAAAACCAGGAGATCCGTCGAGATCCGTCACCGAGAAAGCCAGAAGTTCTCTCGAAAACAGATGCAAAACTGCAAACACACATTGTTTGATCTGTACTCGTTACTCGTACATGTTGTTCTTGTTGTTCTTGTTGTTCTTCTATGTTTTTGATCTGTGTATTTTTTGTGTATTTTTTGCTACACATTTATTCATGTTCTACACATTTATTTTGTCCTGTTTACTATGTCCTTTGCATATTCTGCAGAGTTTTGCTTAAAGTTCAGCTGTACCACGTATTAAAACTTCGACAGGAAATGGAGAGCCAGCTGAAGATTGCTCGGGCCGACACAGCGCGTCTGCGGCTGAAGACTAGTGATCATTTGGTTTCACAGTTGACCAGTTTTCACATCTTTTTCATGAAATAGTTCACAAGACTTGGGATCTAACTGCATGGAATCGTGTAGGGCACACTCAAGGATGAAATTCATTTCCAGATGCAGTCGTTGGTTTTGCTAGCTCTCTACAAGTCTATGGAAAGTCTGCATGTGAAGCTTACATATGTTTGCATGATTCTATATGACATGTGATAAATGTATTACTTTATTGTTGAGTCTGTGTTCCTGCATTTGTTCCAGAAGTTGGAGGCCTGACTTCGGAGGAGGAAAAGTTGCTGCGCGAGAAGAAGGTGGCTCTCGCTCGGGAGAAGCTGGTGCAGGACAGTTTTAAGAAGACCGAAGAGAGGCCAGGGCCTGAGGACACCTCAGGATGCTCGAGGAACCTCGTTCTGAGCATTTTGGCGGCTTCAATTCTTGTTCATTGATTTCATTGCAACGTTCAAGATCTGATCTTGATCTCGTGGAGTTGCTCAGGGAGAAGGCCTTGAAGGAGATCCTGCCACTGATGGAGAAAGATGAGAGGAATCTGAAGGACCGAGTCCGAAAAGCGACAAACACTTTATGAAGACCGTCACCTGCTCCGCCGTTTCACGTTGAGCAGACGAAGCGCACTAAGCAAACAAATACTTTTGCTTTGCTTTACATCCTTTACTTTACTTTCTCTGTGCTTTGTTCATCTCTGTTCTCTGTTCTGGAAAGCGTTGGACTGTGAGTCACAGCGCAGGATCGTATCAGCATGTTGGAGGGCCAGGCCACCAATGAGAAAGTCCTGTCGCCCTTACCTCAATACCAAACCAGACAACTGAAGACAGCTGCGGAATCATCGAAAATCATCGGAATCATACATGTTGAGAGGCTGCCGAGGACTTTACACTCCTCATTCAAATTTATCAGACAGGTTTACCATGGTTTACCTGTATGGATGGGTTCCTTACTCCTTTGAAGCATGACTTGGATGCATGATGTCGCGTGTGTCTCCAGAGTTGTGTTGTTTGATGGGCACCTTGGGACGAGTCCTTATAGTCCTTCGTCTCGCCAATGCCATGGGGGATCCAGGTGATACAAACTGTTTCCGAGATCCTCCATGGGCTTCGGATGGCTTCCCTGGTACTCTTTGTCTTCCACTTCTCTCTGTGGGCATCTGCCATCATTCTCCCCTTGTCTGCAACTTGCCTCGCTTTTAGTCTCCCATTCAGTCTCCGCCGTGGGGACCTTGCAACTCACTGGAGCCTGGAACTTCCTTTGTCATCACCACATGGTTTGGATTCTGGTCCTCCAAGACTGGATTATTTTTGATAGACATAATCATAGGCATGCCAATACCGATACGCCACCTCAGATAAATATTTTCGGGACTTGACCATTCTGAGTGTCTTTCGGACATTCTGTCGCTGTCTGATCTGTGATGAGAATTCCTTCGACGGTCTATGCTTGCGCATGTCTCGCTATACCGCTATGCTGTTCAGGTTTAAATTGCAGGAGAGTGAGCAGGAGAATTCGAAGCTGGCTGCGGAGGTGAAGAGAATGCAGGCCATGAGCTTAAGACACCAGTTTGTGGAAAAAAAAATCAGGTTCTTGGTATTTCTTGGTTATCCAATTGAGTGAATGTTTTTGTTTGGAAACGGAAACGCGTCGAACTATATTGAAGTCTTAACTTAAACTCTTCAAGCCCTGAGTTTTCCTTGAGGAAGCGCTGAAGGCAAAAGATGCTGAGAAGATCCGGCTCACACAAGACATCAAAAAGGCAGAGGAGAGCTCAAGCAGATCCTGTCGGCCGGTGATGTCTGCAATTTCAACCTCAAGCAGAACTCAAGCCTCAAGAAATTCTTGACGTAAACTTACATTTAGACTTGAAGGAATTGGTTTACTTCAATCTCCAGAGATATGAAACAGGAATTGAAGAGAAACTCAGAGAATTTTCCAGTTGGAATTGGAAGCAGCTGTTTGTCGCGTGCTGCAAGGATGCCAGCGTTGCAGCATCTCGTGATGCTCAGGCGAAGCAGGCGGCCGCGGCTGAGGCGCAGAAGCAGATGGAGGCACGGTCACCACGATTTCACTTTCACAATACATGTCATGACATGTCATGAATGATCATGAATGATCATGAGCGTCATGAATGCATATGAATGCTACATCATTTTGCCAAGTACAATACGTACCATACATGTCATGAATATGTGTTTGAGTCGTTATTTGTCATTTGTAGTTGATGTGTCATGACGATTTGCGTCACGAATACGTTTCATAAATCTGGACTTATCATCCCGCTTGCGTCCACGGAAACCCGCCGTCCTGGACGGAAACCCTTGCAGCCCTTGCAGCCCTTATTTCGATGTATTTTAAAATTTCGAGACTGAGAAGATCCACCTGGGAATTCTTGAAGCATTCTAAGCATTCCGAGCATTCCGAACTCATCCTGGAAAGATCTGGAAAGTCATGAGATCGAACCTTCCAGAGTCGCTCTCCAAGCTTTTAGATTTTTGAGACTACTGCGGGGTCATGTCTTAAGCCAACACTCTTCTCTTCAGATCGTACTTTCTGCTGTTTGCTTCTTACCAGACTGAAACATGGAGATGCAAATCTTACCACCACGCACTTCAATACTTCCAGTACTCGCTGAAATCTCTTTGATTGGACAAGTCCGCCAATGAATTCCAGGTGCGTGCTCAACAGCTCATGGCAGCAGCCAATGAAGCCAAGATTTCCCGCGACAAGGCCCTGACATTTTTCAATATTTTTGTATGTCTTGTGGCATAGTCAATAGTGTGGAAGTGTGTTCGAAAATGTTCGAAACATTTTGAAATGCGATCAACGTGTTCAACGTGTTCAACGTGTTCAACGTGTTCAACGTGTTCAACGTGCAGAGCGCAGTCGCAGCACCAGTCGCTGCGGTAGGCCATCAAAGAAGCGCAGGAACTGCGAGCCGCTGCGGATCAAGCCAAGTTTGCTGCGCTTCGTGCTGCTGACTATGCTAAGGAACAGGCATGATGACAGGAACATGTCCAGATTGTCCAGAGACATCTTCCACATATTCCTCATTCAACTCATTCCTTTCGATCTTTAGATCGAGTATTCTTTCATGCCAAAAGACACCTTGAACTTCCCCTTTCTGTGTAGCACAATGAAAACACTTGGAGACTATTGAAGACTACTACAAAATACTACAAACATCAGCAAACATTGTCTTACCATCTTACCATAATCTTTTACATTGTTTTATCATGTTTTACCTTAAGATGTAGGGTTTCACCGTTTCACCGCGCATGATGTGCTTCAAGGCCCACAAGGATGCCGCTGATTTGGCGGCCAAAGCAATTGCTGCAGCCAAAGCTGTGGAGGCAGAGCTTTCGACCGAATCCGAAACCGAAGGAATGAGAAGAAATGAGTGAAATTTGAAATATGAGTGAAATATTCAGAAAACATCATGTAAAAAACACTCTTCTTTTTCGTGAGATACTTGTTGATAGATATCGCTCGCACAAACTGCTGATTATCTTTTGCTTGATATTGTGTCGCGATGGGACACGTGGATTGCTGGCAACAAACACATTGCTGCGGGGTTTGTGGGGCCTTGTTCTGACAACTTCTTTTTCGAAATTCTCTATTCTTGCAGATTCCATCATGTCATGATCTTGGACTCACCCCCGAGGGTACAGATTTCAAAAGAGAATTCCACAGGACATTCTTTGAAATCTGAAATACGTTTTTCTCGATTGCTTCATTAGGGGTAGTTGATGGTTTGACTCAGCAAATTAATGAGGTTTTGGAGCAGTTTTTGAGCACATGAGTAATCATTGAACCAGTAGGTGAAAGTTCGAGTGTTCTTTTAAGCGTGATAAGCGATTGGGTCAAGTGAGTCTTTGCAGGAACGGTTGAGGGATGCCTCGGTCAAATGACTGAGTCGTTTTTGAGGGTTTTTTCATGGCGAGTTGTTGCGAGTGTAACATGTGTAAGTGTTTTTGAGGGAGTGCTTGAGGCGTGATGAATCGAATGATTGATATGGTGCAGGCCTACAGCATATCAATGCACTGCACATTTCGATGAACAAACACTATCATAAACAGGAAACCTCAAGATGCACAGTATCATGTCACATTGTACTTACTAGTAAATCCTTGTTTATTTGCTCATGTTTTGTATTGTCCCAACATCATGCACACGTATTTGAAATACGTGGAACATGTACACTATTTATCGTATAAAGCGATATCATACATGTTGTGCATAACATGTACATACAGCATATATCTCTAGACATGCGACAGCATGTTATTGCATCATACCATGTGACATCGGAGCATGCGAGGTCGTATCAAGTTGTGTGATAAAAAATGTATCATTTTGACTCCTGTCAATCGATACCATTTTATGTAATATCACAGCATGTAATGTTGTGTCATACCCGTAGATAACGTTGTCTCGTCCCATCTTATCTCATCTCGTCTCATACAATCTCATATCGAATCAATTATGCTTCAGTATACATTCCAGAAAATTATCTTTCATTCTTTTGCATTGTATTCGTTGAACAGACCCAGCGACTGACGTGGAGTAGCCTAATTACGGTACTAATGCATTTAATGCATGCCATGTATTGTATTAAACTCTGTACCTTAACATGTTTTTGTTTCCATCCTTGATATCCTTTTATTTTTATTGTTTTTGATGATCGTCTTCACTTCACTACTTCCTTGCTGTCTTCGGGGCGATACCTGTTTTTTTCTTAGCGTCACGAAGCCTCGGCCAGGCGGCTTGTGCCAATGAGGTGCAACTCTCCCAGCAAGCAGCACAAGCTCAACAGACTGTGCAGCAGTTCAGGCACGAAGCGCGACACAAGCAGCGACAGAAGAGTTGTGTTTGACAGCTGTCAGCAACATGAACAATATAAAATAATATAAAGAGGTTTTAGTATATTTTGGCAACATGCAAAACAGCACCTTGAATATAACCCAGCATGAACAAGGCACAAACAGTGTTGAAGCATTAGCATTTTATGAGGCAACTGTGTCACACTTGAACCCTCCAGGAAGTGAGAAGTTTCCCTGTGGCGATTCGAAAGACCTCAAAGTTTCGACGCGCTCGAAATGAGCAAGCGGAGCAAGTGTAGGAAGCGCAGTATATAAAGATCGCGAGTGTGGGAGGAACTTGCATGGCCAACACATTTTACACATTTTAGGCCCTTTACCTGGGTCTACACTACTACAAGCCAGATATCCTGGGTTTGCAGGTCCAGTATGAAAGAAACACTTCTGTGGGGAACTGTTTTGAGGTGCTTTTGATGGTAAAGATCTTGTGGAAATACTGCGCTTGAGTTTCATTCCGCAAAGGCAAAGAACCGTCGAAAGGGTTGAAAGAGCCCTTCACACAGTGGTCGTCGAACCGGGCACAGTTTCACCGGCGAGGCCAAAGCAATTTTTCATACAGCCCTTTGTCCCACAGGTCGTTGACCGTGGACGATTCAGATCTGGACATGTGTGAGAGGTGTGACATGCACATTCCAAAAAAAGTAACACGTTGTCATACAGTCATACACTTTGTTTTTTGTGTTTTTCCCAAAAGCATCTCCGATGCTTGGGTTCTTGTTTAGTTTACTTCGCCGCGGGTGGAGCGAGACGGAAGCGACGATATCATGAACGGAAAGGAAACCGTGGGAAATAGCTTGGGGAGAGCTCCGTTGGCAGGGAGCGAGACGGAAGCGACGATATCATGAACGGAAAGGAAACCGTGGGAAATAGCTCGGGGAGAGCTCCGTTGGAGGAGCGAGACAGAAGCGACGGAACGGTCAGGAAACAGTGGGAAATAGCTTGGGGAGAGCGCTCCGTTGGGAGGGAGCGAGACTGAAGCGACGACATCATGAATGGAAAGGAAACCGTGGGAAATAGCTTGGGGAGAGCTCCGCTCCGTTGGGAGGGAGCGAGACTGAACGGTCAGGAAACAGTGGGAAATAGCTTGGGGAGAGCGCTCCGTTGGGAGGGAGCGAGACTGAAGCGACGACATCATGAATGGAAAGGAAACCGTGGGAAATAGCTTGGGGAGAGCTCCAATGGGAGGAAGCGCGTGGACGGACAGGAAACTGTGGGAAATAGCTTGGAGAGAGCTTCGTCGGGAGGGAATGAGATGGAAGCGGGGACGTCGTGGACGGGCAGGAAACCGCGGGAAATAGTTTGGGGAGAGCTCCATTGGGAGGGAGCGACGACACCAAATTTCATCAAAATACGATTGTTCAGAAAAAACTGCGCGCCCAAGACTTGTCAAAGTTTCCAAACCCTGGACATGGGACATGCATAGGTTCGTTGGCAGGGTGTGAGACTAAAAGAGCAGGGCTGTTGGCACAGATTTTTCAGGACAAATTCTGTCAATGCGATTGTCCCAAAAAACTGGTGCCAAAGACTTCTCAGACGGTTTCTAAACGCTGGGCACAGGGACATGCATGGGAAAAAGTTCTTTGCTGGAGCGGTTTTCATTTTGCACGGCGTTCTGTCCGTCGATGCTAGGTTATCGCTACCTTCGCAGCGAAGCAAACTAAACGAGAACCCAAGCATAGGATATGCGTCAGCTTGGGAAGAGGGAGTGGCACTGAAAATGCGGGGCTGTTGGCACGGGTTTTGCACAGAGGAGCTTTAGACAGAGGAGCTTTACACAGAGGATATTTTATACAGAGAAGCTTGAACACAGGGAGGACTTTACACACAGAATCTTTTACACAGAGAGACTTTTACACAGGAAAGGTTTTACACACACACACACACAGAAGCTTTTACACAGAGAAGTCTTTATACAGAGAAACCTTGACACAGAGAAGCTTGCACACACACAGAGGCTTTTACACACACACACACGCACGCAGAGCAGCTTTTACACAGAGTAGCTTTTACGCGGAAAAGTTTGTACACACAGAGGCTTTGACACAGAGAAGTCTTTTACACAAAGAAGTCTTTATACAGAGAAGCTTTTACACAGAGAAGCTTGTACACACAGAGGAGCTTTTACACACAGACGCTTTTACACACAGAAACTTTACACAAAGAAACGTTTACACACACACACAGAGGAGCTTTACACACAGAAGCTTTTACACACAGAAGCTTTTACACGGGAAAGCCTGTACACAGAGAAGCCCTTATACACAGAAGTTTTTACACAAAAAAGCCAATTTACACAGCAACTTTTACACACAGAAGCTTTTGCACACAGACGCGTTTACACAGAGGAGTGTTTACAGACGGACGCGTTTACACACAGAAGCCTCTACACACAGAAGCTTTTATGCAGAGCAGCTTTTACACAGAGAAGTCTTTACACAGAGAAATCTTGACACAGAGAAGCTTGTACACAGAGGCTTTTACAGAGAGAAGTCTTTTACACAGAGAAGTCTTTACACTGAGGACCTTTTACACAGAGAAGTCCTTACACACAGTAGATTTACACACAGAAACTTTTACAAATAGACGCGTTTACACACAGGATGTTTTACAAATAGAGGCCTTTACGGCGCACAGAAACTTTTACACAGAGCAGCCTTTACGCGCAGAAGCTTTTAGCAAAAAAGCCTTTACACAGAGAAGTTTTACACACAGGAGCTTTTGCACAAGGAAACTTTTGCACAGGAATGCTTTTACACACAGAAGCTTTTACGCACAGAAACTTTTTTCACCGAGAAGTCTTACACAGAGGAGCTTTTACGCACAGACGCGTTTACACAGAGAAGTCTTTACACATATGAGCTTTTGCACAGAATCTTGTGCACGCAGACGCGTTCACACACAGAAGGTTTTACAAACAGACAACTTTACGGCGCACAGAACTTTTACTGTACATAGAGCAACTTTTGCACAGCGAAGCTTGTACACACAGGCGAACTTTTATACACAGAAGCTTTTACACAAAGATTTTTTTACACACAGAAGCTTTTGCACACATTAACTTTTACACACACAAGCTTTTACACGCAGAAACTTTTACACAAAAAACCTTTACACAGAGGAACTTTTACTCACAGACGCGTTTACACAGCGAAGCTTTTACACACAGAAGCTTTTACACAGAGTAGTTTTTACACAGAGAAGTCTTTACACAAAGAAGTCTTGACACACAGAAGGTTTTACAAATAGAGGCCTCCACGGCGCACAAAAACTTTTACACAGGGCAGCTTTTCCACAGGAGCTTTTGCAGAGAGGAACTTTTACACAGAGAAACTTGTACACTCAGAGGCTTTGACGCAGAGAAGCTCTTACACACAGAAGTTTTTACACAAAAAAACCTTTACACAGAATCTTTTACACACAGAAACTTTTACACACAGAAACTGGTACGCAAAGAAACTTTCACAAACAGAAACTTAACACACAGAGGACGTTTTACACAGAAACTTTTACACACAGAAACTTTTACACAAAAAATGCCCTTACACAGAGAAACCTTTACACACAGAAACTTGTACATACAGAAGCTTTTATGCAAAGAAACTTTCACACACAGAAGTTGTTTCACAAAAAACCTTTACACAGAGGAACTTTTACACAAATCACAAAGGCTAGCTGTGCTAGCTGAAGTTGCTCTTGCTTTAGCAAGGAATAGGCAGGGAGCAGGACCATTGGAAACCCTGAAACTTTCCAGTTAGACCCCCCCCCCCTGGCAGGCCCAGGCCCCCCCCGAGCCCCCCGGAGAGGAGATTTCCGGGTGGTAGAGGGTCATCGTCCTCATTTTCATCATTTTCATCATCATCATCATCATCACCATCATCATCCTCATCATCCTCATCATCGTCGTCCTCATCGTTGATCAGCATCCTCATCCCCTGGTCCCGCTGGGCCATTGGTTTCCTGCAGGTATAGGGTCGTCCTCTTCAGTATTTCATCTTCAGGACGTCATGTTCAGGAAACCAAGCAACAACTCTATAAAATCATCATCGGAAACTTGCCGGCTTCCAAATGATCATAATTATCTTCCTCCTCCTCCTCATCATCATCATGATAATCCCCATCATTCGCAACATCATCATCATCATCATCATCATCATCAGCATCATCATCATCATCATCATCATCATCGTCAACAACATCATCACCCTCATCCTCAGCCTTATCGTCATCATACATATGTTGCATTGTCTCGAACATCTTTATGCAGATTCGGGCTTCCATTTGGGGGGCGTTTTTTTGATATTGCGTTTCTTTTGCTTACAACACTTGGCGAGAGACGATTACTGCATTGGGGGGTTTTCGCTTGCTGGACTCAATAGATTTTGCAACCCTACAGCCCTGCTCATCATACTCACCATCCGCATTTTCATCTTCATTCTCATCCGCAGCATCCTCACCATCCTCATCATCCCCATCGTCTTCATCATCCTCATCATCCTCTTCGTCCTCATTATCGTCGTCATCAACTCATTACTGTTACCATCACTTTGGTTATCATCAGTTTCCTCATCGTTCTGGTCAGCAACCTCATCAACATTAAAAGATTGGCGCTGTTTGTGACTTGCAGCAACTCCAAAAAACCACGTAAGACCGTTGCCGCATTCCGACTTCACCTTGCTAATCCCCCTTTATTATTACCACCCTACCCCAGCCCTGCCAGCTTTCGTACCTCCCCCCTGGCCTCAAGTAAATTTTTATGCAGAGACGCGTTTACACACGCAGTAGCTTTTGCGCATAGAAACTTTTGTGCAGAGAAGTCTTTACCCATCTTTCATCATGTCTCATTTTTCATGATCATTCACCATCTGTCATCTTCATATCTTCGTTTTCATGCTCTTTTGGTCAGGTGCCTCCGTCGTTTAGTTTTCATTTCGCACAGTGTTCTGTCCGTCTACGCTTCGTTCTTGCTCCCCCTGCGGCGAAGCAAACTAAACGAGAACCCAGGAATAAATAGCGACTAGAAAGATGGGGTGGAGTTAATTACAGGAGCAGAAATAGCGACTAGAAGAATGTAGACATAGCTGACGCAGCATGCTGTGGTGAATTGTGGCCCCTGATACCATCAGTGGGCACAATGTTTCAAGAAAAATGTTATATCGATTTCGCGCAGAGCACAGCTGCCCACACCACAATTCTTTTAGAAAAGGCACGCTGTGTGCCGTCTTGCTTTTGGGTTCTCTGGCACACCTTGTTTTGCGTTTCCCTGACATATAGAATTCAAAGAACGCTATGAATAGCTCCAGACAGAATGCGTCAATGAATCTATTGGCCCGTTTGTGCTGAGAATGCGAGGAAGTGGCACTCGTAAAGACTGCGGGCTTCATCCAAAATGCCGTTATTTGCAGCGTCCGCTGTGAGATCTGAGGATCTGAGTCTGGGTTGCTGACCAGTGGCTGAAAACCATTTATTTAGATGTCCTACTGTCCTACTTAGTCTTACTTCATACTAATTAGTCATTGATAGTCTACTTGTTTTATTTTTGCTTTCAAAACATGGGGAAACAAGTCTTAACAAGGCTCCACAACGCTCTGTCAGCAGGTTCAATTGCTGTCCGTAGCCATTTCTGGTGTGGCTTAAAATTTTTCGATCTCGTCGAGCATGGCTCCGTCAAGGAGGCTTGAGAAATTCCGCAAAACACAACCTTTGTTACTTGTTACCGTCAGTTTTCTCTGCGAAAGACAATGAACAACTTCTGTCAACCTAATGCTACCTGATGCTACGTTGCCTGCTCACCAACTCAGGAGCTACGGTTCTGCAGCCGCTGTGGCAGCTTGTGCAGAGCTTATGAATTGCGTAAAGTAGAAACTGCACGGGTTCAAACGGGCATAAATGGACATCGGATGACATCGGAAAACTTACTTGGCAGTGAAATCAGTGAAACGTTCAGTGATGCACTCCCCTTGTGGAGCTGTCCAAGCTGCACGGGTTGCGTAGCGTTGTGCACATTGTTTTTATCGAAGCCTTCGAAGGTGGTGCCGCCTTCGTGCTGCCGAGCTGTCGAAGTGCGGTGACACAGCGAGTAAAGACTTTTCAAGAATCTTTTGCGACGAACGAATGGCAGATGTGGATAGATAGATATGGTAGATTATGGTAGTACGAATTGGAAGTACGATGGCAGTACGATACAAGATTACACAATACAAAAGCTTCGACTGCAAAGCAGGGTGTGCGAATGCTGCTTTCGTTCAGATTTGCTTGAATAGATGGGAGTTATTTGGAATGTATTGATTGAAAACAGGATTTCATAGATTTGCTTTGATTCAGAATGTTTTTAGATTCGATTTGACATTCTATTACATAGTGCTGACTGCCAATTTTCTCGTGGACTCCTTTTCATTTGACAAATTTGACTAGTTCGACTTGTGGCTTTGAGGTTCTCCTTCAGTGGCTCGTGGTGTGCCAAGTATCGAGGCGCAATCCCGTGACCGGAGTCCACTTCCCTAATGGCTGCTTGTGGCCATTGGAAAACATTGCTGCCACAAGTTGCTAACAGATTTCTGGCTCCTCTTGACTGCTGGTACAAGTCGGTAGTAACACGGACAATGTGGCAACAAGATGACAACATCTTGAATCTTTATGACTTGTCCTCGATGCAGCTTTTGCTTGGGTTTCGCATTGAAACTAAAGCATTTTAGCTTGCCTATCAACATTTTAAGAATAATTATATATATATACAAAATTTGGATCAAAACCGAACTCATCGAATTCAGTTTTCCCGGCAGGATGCGGCTCCTGTTGCCGGTGTGAAAGGGTCTGCGGCCTGGCGCCTCAGAACTGGTGAACAAATTTGGGCATCAGCAAGGCACGCCAGGCACACCAGGCACGCCACGTTCTGGTCAGTTGCACCATCTTGACTGCACTGACGGCACTGTGCATCTCTGCACGTGCGCTCGAGGCTTTGGTCACCGCTGGCCTGACAACGGCTCTGGTTTTGGGAAAGCGACGTGTGGCTAGGTGAGACTCCACGAGACTCAAGAAACAAAGTTAGTGTTTCTTTGCATCGAATATGCAGTGACTTCAACATACTCGAACTCTAAATACTAAGCTTAGCTTCAGGTGACTCATTGAGGATCCACTTCTTCAAACTCACATATGCTTTCGTACGAAAATGGAAGGTCGCGAGTCTTGAGCCGTTTGGTGCCCAGCACGACAAGAGCAAGTAGATGACATCAAGTGGATCCAAGTGGGAAAGCGAAACGGGAAGTCTGGCGCAAGTTGCAGAGCCGTGGAGGAGAAGTTTTGAGGATTTTTGTTTGTGTTTGTGCTGTTTTTTCCTGAGAAGTTTTCTTGAGTTTTTCTTTGGTAGCTACTGAGGTGCCGATCCTACAAGATCTAAGCTGATGCAGGAAGTTGACCAGGCAACATGGCAATGTGGCACTACTCTTGCACCATGGTGACCAGGCTGTTGATATGTGTTGCTAAAAGTGGTGGTCAAGGTCTGGATTCAGATCGGACTCTCCTTTTTTTGACCAACTTACCAACGATCCTCATGTTGGCCCCAACTTGGGAACTTTCAGCTCCGTGGTCTCATGATTCTCATGTCTTCTGTATCCGTAGAGCTTTCTGGACGTGAGAGCAGTGAGAGCAGTGCAAACTGCTGTGAAGTTATGTCAATTATGTGAAGTTGAAGTCTTTCTTGAAGTCTTTCGTATTCTTTCGTGCTTTCTTGCAAGGTTGGAATCCAGCCAAAGGATTACCTGGAGGCGGAATCTTGGAATGCGCCTTTTGTGGACCATTAGGAACACTGAAGAGGAACCATCACTCAATCGCATTAGTCGCGTTATCAAATCTATTCACATCTCACATACTGAATGTGACTCTTCCATGAACAATATGTATTGACTGTATTGATATCTCAGAGACATCTGAACTCCTGGAGCCAGGGAGCATGGTGGCAGTTTGCAGTCGTTGTTTTGGATGAGAGGCATCAGAAAAGAAGATGCCCAGCAATGACAACGTTCGAATCTCAGAAATGCTATCTTAGCTCACTGAATTATCTTTGAACTGTGAACTTCAGTTGTTTTCTTGGAACTTCAGGTTGTACTCCAATTTGTAGTCATTTTTCTTATTGTTGTTTTTGTATGTCACTGCTTTCATCTTTGGCTTGAGGGCAAAAGGGTAGGAGCACTGGTTGGTGGGAAATCGTGCATCTACACCTTTGATTTTGATTTGAAGAAACTGATGGTTTCCTGAAGGTTTGTAGGGATCTGTGTGCTTGGTATTTTTTTTGCCTCTGTAGGGTGTCAGTGTAAGACTTCGATAGAATTAGGTTGCAGCTTCTGTTTTTGTGCTGCAGAACAAAGCACAAGCAAAGTACAAGCTGTTTTTGTTGTAGTTGTTACGTTTTCTTTGCCCCCTGTTGATCCTGTTGCATCGCAGAGAGCTCTCGCAGGTGGCCTCTGGTGCACAGGATGCAAAGAAATCCGACAATGGAGAGGACAGTGCGACACGTTCAGCATGTCAGGTCATGATAGTCTCCATGATGTCATGTTGTATTTCTCCGCATTGTTTTTTTTGGCCTGTATTTCATATGTCTACTCTTCACCCCATAGATTCATAGACATTTAGCATAGCATCAACTCAGGGCCTGCTGGGCAAGGCTGGCAGGTTCAGATCTGCCTTTCCAAACCAGAATTGAATTGCAAAAAATAGCGTACTCATCAATATGGACCAGACAAGTATTTGGAACTGATGCAAAATGGTGAGAAAGGTAGCAAAGACGGAGGAGAAGAAGCCTGAGGACAGCCTAGATTTGTGCGAAAGATCAATTCCAGTTTGTTTTTGTTTGCTTGCATCTTGCATTTTCTTCTGATATGAGTGAGCCCGAAACCGAAAGGCGAAGACAGAGAAGAAGCCGGAGGAGAAGAAACCTGAGGAAAAGAAGCCAGAGGACAAGAAACCGGAGGAGAAGAAGCCGGAGGAAAAGAAACCGGAGGAGAAGAAGCCGGAGGAGAAGAAGCCAGAAGAGAAGAAGCCGGAAGAGAAGAAGCCGGAAGAGAAGAAGCCGGAGGAGAAGAAACCGGAGGAGAAGAAACCGGAGGAAAAGAAACCGGAGGAGAAGAAGCCGGAGGAGAAGAAGCCGGAGGAGAAGAAGCCGGAGGAGAAGAAACCGGAGGAGAAGAAACCGGAGGAGAAGAAGCCGGAGGAGAAGAAGCCGGAAGAGAAGAAACCGGAGGAAAAGAAGCCGGAGGAGAAGAAACCTGAGGAAAAGAAACCGGAGGAAAAGAAACCGGAGGAGAAGAAGCCGGAGGAGAAGAAGCCGGAGGAGAAGAAGCCGGAAGAGAAGAAGCCAGAAGAGAAGAAGCCGGAAGAGAAGAAACCGGAAGAGAAGAAGCCGGAGGAGAAGAAACCGGAGGAGAAGAAGCCGGAGGAGAAGAAGCCGGAGGAGAAGAAGCCGGAGGAGAAGAAGCCGGAGGAGAAGAAGCCGGAGGAGAAGAAGCCGGAGGAGAAGAAGCCGGAGGAGAAGAAACCGGAGGAGAAGAAGCCGGAGGAGAAGAAGCCGGAGGAGAAGAAGCCGGAGGAGAAGAAACCGGAGGAGAAGAAGCCGGAGGAGAAGAAACCGGAAGAGAAGAAGCCGGAGGAGAAGAAACCGGAGGAGAAGAGTGATGCCTGCACTTTTCTTGGCAGTGTTTTTTGAATTGTTGGGTGGGTTGTTTCTGAACATTGGACGCTTTGCATTGAATATCGAACGCGTCAAAACAACGGAAAGAAAATTGGCACCTTTCCTTGTCAGGCCACGCCTGCACCACCGAAGGCTTGGGTATTGACATGTCCAAGGGAAGAAAAACTTTCAAAATTTGACTGGTGACGCTTTGTGAACCCTATGTCCTGGTGTTGTGCGTTACACGACTACGTGTCACTTCATGGATAGGCAATGTGACAGGCAAGCAAAGCGGTTACAAAGCGATTACAAAGCAGTTATGTGTCATTACAAAGCTGTGAATGCGGCTTGTGTCTAAATCTTTGTAGCTTGCACGACTCGACAGGCTAAGTCAGATGCCAGGATCTTAAGATATTCCAAGATCTTTCTCATTTCTGCAGTGCAAAAAGTCGTGCTCCACATGCAGCTTGTAAGGATGTGGATGTGCCAGGGCAACGACTGAGCATGTGGTCCTGACATGTTTGTTCAGTCTGTTCACCTTCAAGTTAGGAAAGCTAGCAGTAGTTAGAGTAGCTAGAGTTGCTATGAGTTGGTTCGTCCTTTAGCACATCAACTGTGGGTCAGGCACGGTCAGGTCCATGCTATTTGCACGCAAACCTCCCAATCCTCCTACTTCCCACACTTTGCCAACCAACGGTCCAGCAAACATCGACATCAAAAAACATGACGGCGACAACACTACGAGCAACAAACAACCTGCCAACTTCACTTCAAATGGCAATCGTATGTAATCGTTCTTCAGCCAAGAGAATATGGCTAGCTGCTCTCCTTCCTGGTGCCCTCTGGATGTCATTCACTCTTTCACTTCCCTGGATTTCTCACCGGAACCTTGGAACTCAGGTTTTTCTTGAATAATTCATCAGCGTATCTGGGTGTTCTGAGCTTCCCAAGAGAACGCAGGATACGCCGGTGATGTTTCCTTTGAATGGCTGTTGATCGATGACATGAGATTATGCAACCTTGATGCGTACGGCCAAGCTTTGAAGGCACGTGGCCAACATTGCTAGTCTGCACCGCAGTCTGCCCTGCCTTGCAAACAAACAGCGCGGTGTTTTTCAAACGAATTCAGAAGAAGTCAGCAGGTGTGATGTAAGCTGTCAAGTTGCATGTGGCATAAGGTCAGGACGGTGGTGAAGCAGCCTTGAAAGGAATTCGCGAGTTCTTTGGAAGCCGAGAGGCGCATCTAAGCAGAAGCTGCACTCAACGGTTTTCAAGCAACGAAGCAAACCATGGGAGGCAGAACTTGAGAAAGCATTGGAAGCACAGAAAATCAGGCAAGCGTGCTCACAGACTTAGAAGCAGCGGCATTACATCCACTGGATCATTCTCGACATTTTTGTGTGGGGTTCTTGTTTTTTGTTCTGTATCCCGTCCGCCGTCCGTCCGCCATCCGCTCCTCGTCCTTCTTTCCCACACACACACACAACTCTTACACACACACAACATTGTCACACACACACACAACATTGTCACACACATACACACAACATTGTCACACACACACAGACACACACACACACAAGTCTTCACACACACACACAACATTGTTACACAGAACTCTTTCACACACTTGCTCAGAACTCTTTCACATACGACTCTTGCACAAAATCGGTCCTCCACCATCTCCTTTGCCTTTCTGGCCTTTCCCATCCCACTTCCACACTTGTTTGACATTATTGGAAGAAGTTGACATGTGGGGTTATCCGGTCCTTTAAGTGTCTTTCCTTTTTCATGTTTTTCTCCTTGTGGTGTTTGAAGGCAAGAGAAGATTGTGAAGGAAATGGAACGTCAAACTGAAGAGATTCAGCAAAAAATGGAGGCAGGTGATTTCTATGGCACTTCAGATTATGAAGCAACACAAAAGCAACACCATGAAGCGAAGAAGTTTCTTGGCTTGAAAGCTTCAGGCGCAAGTTGCAGCAGAAGTTCGTTGGGCACCTAGAGACCTAGAGACTTAAAGCACTCGGGGCACTTCGCCCACTTAGCAGATGCAGAGTTACTAGCAGGACATAGCAGGAGAACTTCGACCATAGGAAACTTTGAGCCGTGACAGCCGTGAAGTTCTCTGGGATTCGCCTCTTCGCTGAGGCCAAGGCGAAGAACTGAGAGAAAGGATTGAAGCGCTCCAGGACCGTTGAATTTCAATGGAACCTCGATGTGAATGTCAAGCATTGTGAAGCTATTTGTACCATGATGTACCTTTATGTTGGCCTTCATGTTAATCAGATGCTTTAAACTGGAAGACAACTTGGTTGAGGAGGATTTTGTGCATTTAGATGGATCTGTGACTGTGATATAATATGATATATATATATGCTTATATGCTGTGATGATGTAACTCGTTGTAAGCCCGCAGAGGAGACATACACCAGCGTCAGTGACCAGCTGGAGATGTCCCAGATCTCCAACGAAAAGCTGCAGGCTGATACCTTAGAGCCTTAGATGGCTTAGGAAGATTTGCCAAGACTATGCAAGGTGTGACTACTTCTAGTGCTTATAGATTGTATAAGCTGTTGCAGCAATGGTCATGGTGTTATGCAAATGTTTGACACTATTCTCAGCATTTCTCAGCATTTCCCCAAATGGTCACATGCCTGAACAGCAATGACAAACTACTCCCTTCATACTTCATACTTGTATTATCCTGTATTACGTGCGCTGCTTTGGATGGGCCGTAGGTGGATCGTGACAACTTGCGCAACGATGTCCAGAGATTGGAAGAGATGCTTGAGCCACTTGTCCTTTTGAAGTGTGCAATTATCTAAAGAACCTGAAGAATAGAACTGACAGAATCCTGCAAAATCACACATATAATCAGCTCTGTCCGCTGTTCTGCATAGTCCTGATCCTTTTGTATCCCTTTGTAACGGCTGTCACTCCATGACTGTGCTGCATGTGACTGCATGTAGGGAAGAACGTGAACTGAATGAAAAGGAGAGGAAGGAGGCTGAAGAAGAAGCCAAGAAAAAGCAGGACACACCCGAAACAATCAGCACAACCAGAAAACTGGACATAACTTTGACATAACCAGAATACAATCCGCATAAGTTCACAACGACTCCACATTCCAACCCTGAAAGGATGTTTGGCATTGTTGTCGAGTCCATGTTGAGAAGAGAAAGCTTCGTTTTTAGGAGCAGCTAGACAAGCTGAACCAGAAGAAAGAAGAGCTCTCCATCACCGTGAGGGAGTTGGACAAACAGATGCAGGCCGAGAAAATGAATGTCTCGTGCTTCGGGCCACGACGGGTCCCATGGTCGATGACTGCTGTGTCTAGGATGTTTACAGTACAAACCAGGCAGGTTGTTCTGTTAAGGGTTTCGAACCGCGAGTCCCAGCTTCTATCAGCTTCCACAGGCTGAGCGAGAAGGCGCATCTAAGAAGGACCAGGGCAGGTGTCAGTGTCAATTCCTGCGTCGAAGACACACTTCGGGGCTAAAGTGATTCTACATTCTATATTGTGATTCTAATATGTGCGATCCTTTTTGTAAAGCTTTCAAGACAGTTGCAGAATCTCAATCTATTGTTTACATTTGTTTACCACGCGCATATTCCGTGCATATTTTGGGGATCCCCAATTGTGCGGACGATTTTTTACAGAGGAGTCCAGCCTTCGGACAGAGCTTTCTGGGGTGGAAGAAGCGTTCTGACCTCAGGGGCCGACACTATCGTCAGGAATGTTTGCGAAAGAACAATAATGACATAACTTGACATAACTTGACATAACATATGCCTGAATGTTAGAAAAACAAAGAGTATTTGATAAGGATGTGACAGGATGTATTTGGCTGTAGTGCATTTGGGGCAAGTACTGGAAAACAGACATTCCAGGACCAAAAGTGGAACGAATCGCAAACTAATCCCAAACTGACTGTGTTGCAAAATGAATATCAGAACGACTCCTTTTTGATCAGTGCATGTCTGCATGTCCTGCTCTTCTCCAATGTTTCCAGGTTGACTTCATCCCGGAAGGAAACTGGTCAGGCCATAGTCTTGGCAACCTCTTTGCAAAGCCGAGCTGTCCACAGTCCCACAGTTCAATGACATTTCCATGACATTTCAATGTCACATTAGTCATAATTAATAACATTTCAACATTTCAACCATGGGCTCGACCATGGCCGAGGTGCTTTCCGACCTGAAGGAAGCGCGCAAGGAAAACGCCTCGCTGAAAGATAAGGCAGCCAAGATATCCTAAGATAAAACACGATAAAACAAGATAAGTCAGGCATGCTGACTCTGGCAGGTTGATGCCTGAGAGATTTTGTGAAGTGTCGCAGCATCGCTAGTGCTGCAGGTCCAAAACTTGGATCAGAACTTGGCGGATTCCAAAGCGGTGCAAGAGGCGGGATTTCAACGGAATGTTTCTGCGGATTTTCTTCATATTTTATATTTCATAATATTTCATATTTTAATTTTTCTTCTTTTTTCCATACTTAGAGCCATACCCTTTTCGTCCGGTAGACCTTTTTTGAGGCCCTCACTAAGAAGCTCCAGGAAGTGATGGAGGAAGGTGGCTTCATAGATTGCTGTGTCATTCTGATACGACATCCCGACATCCCACAAGCCGAGCGTGGCATGAGCATGATGACTCATGATGACTCATGATGACTCATGATGACATACTGACGTTGGGACATGGTGATGTGGCTCTTGTGTGCAGGTGCTCGCCTCAAGCATGAGACTGAAATCTTGAAGGCAGCAGCAGAGGTGGCAAAAGGCTCGATCAATGCCGTTCATGTTCGGCACTTTAGCACTGCTTAGATTTGCTTGGCCATTTCAACCGATTAAAACCCATTTAAACCACTAAAAGCTCTGGTTTCAGGACGCGAGGAAAATTACAAGGCCATGATGGAGAAATTTGCCGAGAAGAGCAAGGCACCACGGTTGCAGGGTGCAATGTGCCATAATGTGCCATTCGATTATTCGATTTTTGCCAAGGTTGAGGACATTGGACTAATTGGACAATATTGGACCAAGCGGACCACTTGGACCACTTGGAGCATTTGGAGTTTTCTTTGAGACTTAGATAGAAAAATGATAGAAATGATTCAGGACTTGGAGCAGGGCATGACCAAGTTGGAGGCAGAAAATAAGCAACTCCTCGAGCGAATCAGTGCCTTGGAAGACGTTACCAGCGTCTCGTGACTGACACGGCGACTCACAGGGCATGGTAGACTGATAGGTCACACCCAGTATGGGCATTACTTCTTAAAGTCTTAAATCCTGAGTGGCCGTGTGGTCTTGTTTTCTTTTTGTGAATTGAGGCCAGTTGGAAGTCGTTGCCGAGAACGAGCCATGGATGCAATAGTGTCAATAGTGGATGTGCCATGATGTGTCCTTGTTTTGTCACGTGTGAAAGTGAATAAAGTGGTTCAGAGAGATGCAAAGCACCGACCTTGGTCTCTCGGTCTCTCGGATGCCATCTTCGCAGGAGAAGAAACTCTCCAAACAGTTGGAATTGTCGACGTCTGAGAACGACAAGTTGGCTCAAGAGCTCCAGGAGTTGGAATCAAGTCTTCAGAGTCTCCCAGCTGCAGATGGAGACATAGAAAACAACTGCATGACACTGTGCACCACAACCTTTGCAAGAGATGATGACAACTGATGACTATTCACAAATCATGCGACAAGTCATTGATTTTGCATTGCGCAGTTCCATTCCAAGGGAAAGACAAGCACATTGGCCAGCTCTCTTCGGATTTGGAGGTGTGTTAGCTGCAGCTCAAGTTCTACGAACTGGACCACAGACTTCCCTCCTGTTTTGCAGGAGAGCCACAAGGAAAAGACACTCATCAAGCAGAAGTCGTCCCTGGGTCGCACGTGCTACCGGTTGTGAAGCCAAAACTTTTCAACTTCCACAGCTGTAATAGCAAACATGAAAATGCCAATGAAAGGGGCAGAAAAGGCCAATGAACGATTCCAATATGGATAGCCAACTTCATTTGGAGGTAGCGTCCTCTAGCCTGGAAGAGGGGGCCGGAAGATTGAACCTGGACAACCCCATCTCATTCAGACGCCTTTGAACCAGAAGATTGGTAACGGGACTAAGAAAAGTTAGAGATTGGCAAAGATGGCAAGGTGGCTTTTCACGGTCGTCCCCTTCCGCTGAAACATTCCAAGGAAAGATTTCCAGGTGAAGGCAGAGAAGAAATTCCGCCGGGATGAGCAGAAGATTTGGGACACCACTGAAAAGGCTGGTTGCAGAAATGTTGCAGAGAGTTAGATTAGTTAGATAGGTTAGATTTGGTTGCATCATTGAATCATTCTGCAAAGAGCACACTGCCTTACATGTATTACATTGCAGTGCGCAGTGAGAGTTTACAGCTGCAGGTGGTTCAGGCCAAGGCAGAGACCAAGTATGCTATCAAGGAGGCAGAAAGAGCAAAGGAGGCCCCGTGTCAATTTCTGACAGTTCCTTCGCACGGAAAAACTTCAGAATCCAAGTGGAGCGCACGGATCTGCGCTGGATCCCGCTGAGCACAGCCGAGCCACGGCTGTCGAAATTCAAAAGGCGTCAGATCTGTGACACGTCACAGCCTTTTTGAACATTTTTGAAATATGTCAAAACGTGTCACATTTGAAATATGTTTGAATCAATTTTTGTCACATTTTGTCACGACATTTTGATGCCTTGATCATCTTTGATCTCGCCAGGAAGCTGCAGCGGAGAAGAAACGCCTGGTCAAGGCAGGGAACGCAGCAGCAACAGCAACGCATCGACGCATCGACGCATCGATTTTGTCTTGTTTTGTTCTTGTGAAATGCGAAGATTTCGAACAAGGTCAACGCTTTCATACGCTTTCAAACCCAGATCTTTGCAAAACACATGAAAACAACCAGATTCTGTTGGACTAACGCAGGAAGCCGAGGCTGCCCGACAGGCCGCGGATGCCAAGGTGAGCGGTGATGCGCAAAGAGTCCTCATGCGCTGTGATAAAAGAAGTCAATCCCCATGAGCCAAAATGATTATGGCAAACACCATAATAAACACTAATAAACACCATGATAAACTCATGTTGGCAAACAGATGTTGAACCACATCACCATGAGGATCCATGAGGAAGATTCAGGAAGATTGAACAACATGAGTTGTTTCAGCTTAGCTACACCGCGAGGTGAAGACTGAGGCTGAGAAGGCCGCCGAAGCTCATGCTCGTGCTGACAAGGCTTCGTGGGCCATTTCCTTTGCCAAATTCGTTTCAAGATTCGCCTTCAAAAATTGGTTTCCAACTTACAAAATGGAAGTCGACTGATAATGAATGCGGCTCTGCATTCAATCATATTCACATATATTCACATCGCGTTCCAGTGCATTCTGTTCACATTTGATTCTGAGATTCAGACTGTGTCACTTCTCACTGAAGAACATGGAGGCACAAGCAGAACGAGAGAAGGCATTGGTTGAGGCAGAAGAGACCAAGAAAAAGGCAGAGGCACGCTACATTACCCAGAATTTTTGCTTTCTAACAAAGACTTTGTGGCTTGCTATACCAGATCTGATAGGACGGAATGTAGGAGTTGAAAGACATGTGCTTGTTGATACCAGACCAACAATTACTCATTCACGATTGTTGCATTGCTTCTACTTGCCAGTGTTGATCAGTTATATAAGTTATATAGTTATACAACATACATGTTTGGTGGGTTACTTTGAATGCTGAAGGAAGGGAAACAACGTGGAGAATCACACAGCGTTTAGTCTTTCACGTCTTGGTCTGCCTGTTTGGCAAGTTGAAACAGCTGACTCGGACAATCAAAACTCTGAAAGATTCTGAGCAGATTGACTTATCAGATCAACACGTGTTGTTGATTTCTAGGGTGCATGACTGCCTGCATATCCTGCATATCGTAATTTTAAGGCTCCAGACTTGTTGCACATCTAAAGTCCACAATGTTGAGCCGTGAGCCGCTTTTCCTGAGACTTCCTGATGCAAAAGGCCAAAGTCAAACCACGATGTCATACTGTGTCACAGGTCTTCACACCCTTGGCCCAGGAAGAGAAAAAAACGGCGATCGCGAAGGCCGACGCAGCCAAAAAGGCAGCAGAAGACGAGGCCAGCGCCGAAGCTGCCAAAGCTGCCATGGGAACCCCTTGCAGCCTCCTGCCACTGTTTTCACACATCGGTGACCGTCGGTGACGGTGTCAACCAAAGGTCTTGCTGTTCTTGCACTTCGTTTTCTCGACATGCCTTCCGCATTGCAAGGCTGCAAAACACAGCGAAGATGCACAGAAAGCAAGAAAAGAAGCAGAGGCTGCGCACACGGAGAAGAAGAACGCCTTGACGGATGCAGCAGCAACTAAGAAACTCGGGCCTGAAAGAATGTACTTTGTGAAATGTGAATTCTATTGTGAAATGTTTCATTGCGAAGTTTCATTGTGTGACACATTGTGAAGTTTCGTTGTGAATTCGTTGCGAAGTTTCTCAGGAAAGCAGCTGAAGAGGCCACACAGGCAGCGATTCAGAAAGCCAATGAGGCACGGCATGTTCCGGCACGGCACGGCAGCACGGCACTGCTACCGTTCTGCTCGTTCTGCTTTGCAGTGTCTTCATCGTCTGCTTTTGATCTGCCTTGAGATGCCTTGATACTTTGAATTACTTTGATAATCTTTGATAAATTCTTTGATTCATTTGGATTCTACGCCGTGAACGAGATCGCAGGCCATTGCGGCTGCGGATGCCAAAGTGGCAGACCAATCCTCGAAGGCCAAACAGGCTCAGGATGCGATGGAGCAAGCCGAGGCTGACGATCACAGAAGACTCACAGACTGAGATGCAGTGCTTCAAAAAATGCCATGCAAAAACATGCACTGCAGATGTTTGTGGCATTTTATGGCACTGGAAACGTTGAAATTGTAGCCTTGACACTCTGCACATGAAGTGGTTCTGAACATGAAGTGGTTCACGTGTGGCTTTTCAGCCGTTCATCCTTAGGGATTTCGCAGTTGCACGGTTTGCATTGGACTTGAGTTTTGAATCATTTTGAGCCGAGATAATATAGATAATTAGATGATGCCAGATGATGTATTGAGATGTATCGAGATGTCAGGCTGCTAAAGAGAAAGCCTATCAGGAGGCTTTGGCAGCTCGAAAAGCTGCAGAGGAAGCCAAGGTGGCGGAGCACGAAGCGCTTTCAGAGATGAGGCGCACAATTCGACAGGGCGTTCTCCAGATCGGAAACGGTTAGGACATCGGATATGACATCGGTGTGAAATGAAATGAATATGATTTTTGAATATGATTTTGATGCTTTTGGAGGATACATTTGGAAAGGGTCGAAAGTCTTCGACGTTCCACTTGGTTTTCAGATGTTTTTAGTTGGTGGCGAGTCAATGGGGTCGTTGGGGTGGTCGGGGTCCTTGTGCATCTTGTGCCAGGGAGCTGACCCAGAAGCAGGCCCAGGATCTTGCAGCTAAAGCGTCTGCGGCCAAAGCGGCTGTGGAGGAAGCTCAGGCGCTGTCGCTCGCTGTCCACCATGGTCCACCTGGCTCCACCTGGCTCCACCTGGATTTCTTGAAATGTCGAAGCTGAGCGTGGTGAAGCGGTGAAAACGCTTTTTGAAGCCGAGTTCACCTTTAATCTAGTTACTATAGTTGGGTTACAGACCCTTTGAAACTACCAAAACAAGCAAAAGGATAGAAGAGAACAAAACAATTTGGAACGACTTTGAATTTGTCGCAGAAACATTTTGAAGCTTTGCGCATCTTTGTTTTCCTTATCGATTTGGTCAACAACAGCGGGGAGGCTGCTCAGCAGAAGCTCGTAGAGCAGGCGGCTGCTGCACGTCAGAAGGCCGAAGCAAAGGCAAAGCAGGCGGACAATTTGAAGCGCCTTGGACAGTTTAAGACTGTCTAAATGAATGTCTCAGAATGCTTCAGATGTCATTAGAAACACATTTCAATAATGTGTATTCAATAATGTGTACACTGTGTATATATCATATACATATATATATATACACACTGTACACTGTATATATATAATATAATATATATATATATGATATAATATATATCATATATATATATACACATATACTGTATATATATATGTATATAATATTATATAGATTATAATATATTACATACATATTTAATGATATTCTGGCAAACAGTCCAAATGTTTATATGCTTCATCTTGTACTCGGACCATCGTTCTTTATGAATTTGTCAAAGTACGGAAACTGCCGACATTGGGACCGATCCAACTGGATCCACCCACACTTTTTCAATCTTTTGCCTGTTTCACACATTCCAGTTTTACGCGTTGGGTCACCTGAGGACGCCAAGTGCACAAAGATGACTTTCAGGTGCAGCTTCGAATGACTTGAGTCGGATTTTTTTGGCATAATATTTGAGCTTTGATGGTAAAAGATAAGATACCTTATACCCAACAATACAATACAATACAATACACTACAGCACAGTACAATACACTACAGCACAGTACAATACACTACAGCACAGTGCAGTACAATACAGTACAGTACAGTGCAGTACAATACAGTACAATACAGTACAGTACAATACACTACAGCACAGTGCAGTACAATACAGTACAGTACAGTGCAGTACAATACACTACAGCACAGTGCAGTACACTACAGCACAGTACAGTGCAGTACAATACACTACAGCACAGTGCAGTACACTACAGCACAGTACAGTGCAGTACAATACAGTACAATACAGTACAGTACAATACACTACAGCACAGTGCAGTACAATACAGTACAGTACAGTGCAGTACAATACACTACAGCACAGTGCAGTACACTACAGCACAGTACAATACACTACAGCACAGTGCAGTACAATACAGTACAGTACAGTGCAGTACAATACAGTACAATACAGTACAGTACAATACAGTACAATACAGTACAGTACAATACACTACAGCACAGTGCAGTACAATACAGTACAGTACAGTGCAGTACAATACACTACAGCACAGTGCAGTACAATACAGTACAGTACAATACAATACAGCACAGTGCAGTACAATACAGTACAGTACAATACAATACATAGATACATAGATTGCATAGATTACATAGATTACGTAACATACGCGATCAAGGGAACAACAAAGGAACGTCTTGAGGGCAGCGAGTTTCTGAACTGCAACGCAGGCCAATGAAGTTGCAGGTGAACGCCGAGCCAAATCTGCGGACATGGCATGCGCATGCTTGCATTCAATTAGCAATTTTCCCCACCAGAGGAGGCCAAAAGCGGGACATTTTTTCTTCATTTGCTCCTATCAAGTGGCATCAAGTGGCATCAAGTGGCCCTCTTGGCCTCTTGTGTTAGTTTCTCCGTTGATCCTGGCAATGAGTCACAGTGACCAACGACTGGGTGCAGTGAAGATTCGTAGTTTAGCAGGCCGTAGCAGACTCCCACAGCCTTGCCACGGAACAGGGCAAGTCGAAGTTTGCGCCATTTGCGCCTGCAATTTAAAACGTTTTCAGTAGTTTTCAGTTTCTTCAACACAGTGATCTTCGAGTCGCCACAAACTGTAGAGAGACAACAGCTTTTGAGCGACGACTCGACGAACATTTGGTGTTGAGCGTTCTCCGTAGCTTAGGCTGTGCGGCTGCGCTCTCTGGGGGAGACATTTTCCCAAGGAATTCGGATGTGAGACCACGAATGACCATGACACATTTTGTGTCTTCTAATTGCAGATCATATTCTAAACAACTTGTTACATTTTGTTACTTGTTTGAGTTTGCTGTAGCTCGGTGCGGCTGCCAGCTTTGGGTGCTCGAGTGCGCTTAAGGTGCTCCGGGCAATGTCCCACGTACCAATGCATTCGCCAACAAAGAAGCAATGCATCCAGGAGGCATCAAATACCTCTTGTAATACTTACAATATACTTACATAATCTTACATGAACTGTGAAATTACATATTTATCATATTTAAGCAATATTCAAGCAATTCTGTTTTGGGGAGTCACGGGTGAAACACCAAATACAGGACGAGCTGTTGGTTTGAGTGATTGAGGCATGTTGACATGATATCGACTGGAATCCTTTGAGCACTTTGGGGAACTTTGGTGAAATTGGTAGCTATGCCTCTTTCTTCCAGACATGTCTTTGCAGTTTCCGGACTGTTCACTGCCCGTTGCATGCAAAGCATACAAGATACATACAAGTGAACATTCTATACAATATTCAATATACAGAGGTCTCTATCCACAGTACAAGATTGTCCATATGCAATACACATAAATCACACATAATCATAGACTGTGCATGTGTGGATGCATCTTGATCATGACTCGCTGCAAGGCTACGACCTACATCACAATGCAAGACCCAGCAAGTGCAATGGATTCAGTACAAATTACACTTTGCATGCTATTTGCATGCCATTGGATTCACTCAATTCATTACATACTTTGTCCTTTGCATGGAAACATCGTGCTGCGATGGGTATTTCAGCTTCGAAACCATCAGAGGAGGACGTGAATTGTGCGACCTCTTGTGATACACAGACGAAAAGTGTGCGCAAAGATTGCTTAAACAAAGCTGGTCTCTGATTCTAGCTCTTGAATCAGAAAACTTTCTCAGGAGCTGCGCACTTTGAAAGATGACATCGAGGAGCTGCGCACTAGTGGCCGCTTCTTCGGCTTTTTCTGCCTTAGATTTGTCGCAGCAGTTCCGAGCCACGCACACATCCTCCAGGGCTGTTGCCGAGAAGTAGCACTTGCGCTGAAACGAGCTGATGCCGCGTGCTGAAAAACACCCACAGACTGCAACACAGAAAACGCTTCAGAAAAGGCTTCAGTGCCGCTTCACTCAGCGTTGAAAGGAGCTTGAATTCGTTGAATGGGCGACTTTCAATTTTTCCATGCGAAGTTTCGCCGATTCTCCACCTTTCCCCAGCAACAGCTGCAATAGCTTTGGGTTGTAGACATTGTAGACACTTGTAGACACTTCACGCTGAGCTAGGCGACTAGGCAGCTAGGCGGTGTGTGTTGGAGTGCACGTTGTGTCCCTGTGTCTTTGCTATGAACAACCCGTTAGAACTCTATGTTCTAGGCACGTTGTGTCCCTATGCTGGGTATTGTGGCTGTGGCTATCTTCGCTTCGCTCTACTAAAAGCATCTGCTGTTTGATCTGTTTGATCTGTTGCGGGGTTGCGATTCATGTGGTTCTTGACTTGACGGAGCTGCCCCGAAAAGCTTGGATTGCTACCATGCTAGCCCAGGTGCAATTGCATATGTTGCTAAGCTTTTCAATGGCGGCAAGGATGTCACACCCTTTTGCCCAGTAGTTTGACTACTTTTTGATACTTTTTGACTTGGATACTTTGGCCGACTTTGGCCTCGCCCTTTGGCCCTGGGAACTCAAGGTCCTTCTTCTTTGTGCTGGTGCCGGGTTTTCAGCTGACTCTGGACTTCCAACCTATGAGGTGAGGGCGGGTGAGGGTGAAACTCTGAGCCTTTGGAACCAAAGTCGACAAAGAACTCCTCTCGGATGAAAGCCTCGAGCAGTTTCAGTGTCACAGCCGCAGGAGATTGCGAATGTGAAGGCCTACCAGGCTCAGCCTGTGAAATCAGTGAATCTAAGCTGCAGCAATGAGCGCGCAGAACCTTGCAGGACCTCGCATTGAAATACAACGACATTTGCAGGACCGCTCATACTCCACAGACTTCGATCTGCCTTTTCTGCCATCATTGCACTTACGTTATAAATATAATATAAATATAATATAGTATAATATGATATAATAAAATAAAATAAAATGAAATAAAATGAAATAAAATAAAATGAAATATAATATAATATAATATAATGTATCAATGTATCAATGTATCAATGTATCAATGTTATGTTATGTAACGTAATGTTATGTAATGTAATGTAATGTATGTATGTATGTCTGTATGTCTGTATGTCTGTATTAATGTATTAATGTATTAATGTTATGTTATGTATGCATGTATTCGTGGTTATATATGTGTGTATACTGATCGTGTTGTTTGTAGCTGTGATTTCATCGTTCCTGTTCGTACACATTGCGCATATTGCGGCTAGGCCTGAATGGATGGCACACGACCCAGAGATTTTCTATGGATTTTGGGGCTCTTGTGCCGTACTCGGGCTGGACGGAGTCACAGAAGAGCAACACACAGTTTGGCAGCTGATTTTGGTTACAAGTTATATCAAGTTATCACAGCTTTGTTCTTACGTGTCTTCTGTCTTGTTTGTGTTGTTTTGTTGCTCTGCAAGCCACGCGGACGATTTGAGGTTTTAACGACTACAGAGATACACAGCCACATGAGGCCAAACTTAATACTGAGTGAGTGTGCTTCTTCTGTAATTTATTTAGCCAGGAAGCAACCCCAGACCAAATTAAAATCCGAATGAGTAAAGACACTATTTCTTGATTTTTTTTGATCTCTTTTGGAAGTTCTTGAAGCACTTGCAGTGTCCCGGGTCCTGTATTGAGTCCCAAGGGCTACAAGATCATCAGAGGATGGCGGGACACTTTTTGCAGCAGACGCCTGTCACAGCAAATGAGCGCGGCCTTGGCGCAGGCACAGTGCCAGTGCTGTTTATAAAGGGCCGAAACTGTTCCGAAACCAAATGAAACGTTCGAAACATTCGAACACGATTTTACCATTCTGCACATTGGCGGACGATGTGGTGCTTTGTATCTACCTGCTCAAGTACTAATAATTACTAATAACAACGCTCAAGCTTTGCGGTGTTTGACAAGAACATCTCATCCGCTGGGAAACTCCCGAAGCCTGAGTTGACAAGTTGACAGGAAATGGCAACTATTCCAAGTCCCTGGCTGAAATTTGCAGCAAGACTTGCCAACTATTCCAAGTCCTTGCATCGATGATATCGATGGCTTGGTGAAGCCTGAGAGGGCTTGAGAGGCTCGAATTGCTTGACTCGGCATGACGAAACAACAGGATGATTCGGGATGATGCTGAGGCGCTCAAAGACAACCAGAGCCATACCAGGCACTGCTGCCAACTTGATGCTTCATGAGAAGTGTCCAAAATTCACGTATCATCAGATGAGTCATATGAGTCATATGCTCTCTTGGCCAACTTGTTTTCGTGTCATGATTTCACCCGATAGTTGTGAGTCTCACTGCATCCATGTCCTTGTGTCCAAGTTGTTGGCCTTGTCTTGCTTGCCAAGTTGTCTTGGTCTTGAAGTGTTTCGATGTCTGCAGTATTCCAGAACTTTTGTGATGAAGTTTCAGCAATGCAAAGATGGGTGTGGCGCGTCTCTGCACAACGAGGTGGAGGGAAATGCTGTCTAGCACTTAGAGGACCCCCACCGCACCCGTGCCAGAAGCGGTCATGACTTGTGACTGACCTTGCCACTTTTGCAGAGATGAGTACACACGTCCGCCCTCCCAGTGCCAGCTATGACATTGATAAATTGATGATCAATGTCATTTTGTCGCTGGCTACTACGGTTACTACTTCACCACAAACAGAGGAGACGAAAATGTCTTGAAAACAATGCAGCTCAAAGAGTCTTCTTACACCAGCATTGCATGATGTATATAAAAAGTAAATCAACCTGTATGTAATAATATATATATACACACATTATCACATATATATATGTACATATGTATGTATAGAATTCTATGATATTCCACGAGTATTTTGATATCGTTGACCATCCAATGTATGCTACTGATACCTATACCTCTGCCATCCTTTACCTACGCGGTTTGCGCCTCAATGCTTTGCCCACACAGTTTGGCGCTGAGGGTGGCTTCTTCGTTTACACTTCGAACGTGGATGCACATTGCCACGACTACTTTGAGCCCTACGAGGAAGGGGAACCATGACCAACCATGGGAAACAAAGAGAAACGTGAAGAATGAAGACACGATATGGAACAGACAAAAAGAATAAAAGAAAATCACATGAAATGAATGGAGAAGGAAATCAAACAAATCTCTCTTTTAGACGAAGGAGCAGATCAAGACTATTTGATCCCAGAACAGAGATCTTGCCAAAATCTTTACATGCCAAGTGTGCTGCCATGATGTCTGTTGATTAAGCAGTCATGATGACATCAAGTTTGATTCTCATGGTGATCACAGTTTCATTCTCCTCTTTGTCTCCTGACGACTGTCACTCATAAACTTTTGGACATATACTTCTCCCATTCTTGGACGTGTCTGAAAATCCTTTGTTGGAAGGTAAGCTAAAGGCTGGGATGCTTACTCAGTTTGTTTTTGGAGGTTCGAGAGTGCCATGGAAATACGGAGGCCACTGCTTGTTCCAATTCCAAGATTTGTGATTTCTTTGCTTCCTGAACTTCGTGTCGAGATGGGAGGGAACTGGAAGCTACTCTGGAAAGCTGCGCACTGGAGGAAACTGTCACTGAGTCACTAGAGTCACTAGAGTCACTAGAGCAAGAAACTGAAGCCACTGGCTCTGAGTGCAGTTCGACTGCAAGACTCACAAGAAATCCATTTCTACTAGCCTGTCGTAGCCTGTCGCAATCCGTCGTGCACCTCTTCACGACCATGACTCTGAGCCCTTTGGCTGAATTTGACTGAAAGATGTCAGCCATGTCAGGGCATTCAATGATTGTTTACTTTAGACTTGTCACAGTCAAAGTTTACTTTAGAATATATCGAAATACATTGGAATCAAGTCCAATGTAAAGTCTAATGTAAAGTCCAGCATGTCCATGTGGCTGAGTGGCGCTCAGTGGCAGTGACAGTGGCACTATGTGGCGAGGTACGGAGATGGCCAAACTCTCCGCCATCGCCGGTGCTGCCCTTTTGCTCGAGCTGGGACTGCTGCCGTGCCTCGAGCTTCGAACTTCGGGAGCTTCGAACCTCAAATAACTGTCGGTTGTCCTTCAGCTATTGCGTAAGAAATTCCATACAACTCAGGTTACTTTACTTTGATATCTTATATATATTCTTACGTAACTTATTGTGGTACTTTCGATTTGTTCATGATACAGTGTGCCCTGTATGACTCAGTATTGCTAAATAGTTTCTTTATGTCTTTTTTGCTTTGACTTCTTGGATTTCTTTGACGTTCCCAGGCGCTTCCTCCTCGTGCCGATTGTCACTTGTGGTGCTGTGCAGCTTTGGACGCTGCAGGGCTTCCTGAGGCGCACTGTCGCATCTGTCGCATCTGTCGCTGCACCAGACCGAAGAAGATCTCAAAGATCTCGTTTTCCGATGTAAAACGACATAGAAAACGACATAGAAAATGACATGAGAATGACATGAGAATGATGAGATTGATGAGAATCAATTTTCTTTCCTTTCTTTTCTTTCTTCACTGACATATCAATTGAACAACAAGTTTGATCCCTTGCGAACCCACCTTCGCCATTGAAATCATTTGACAATTTGACATTCATTGCCGATTCATTGCATGGACTCTGCAAAGGGTGCCGAAAACCAAGAAGATCGAGGACAACTCCACAGATCTTCCTGCAGCCATTGTGACTTGGCAGAGGTTGGCAGGGGCGGATAAGTTTCCTGCGGATTCCAATGACTCAGTGTAGAATAGTGTAGATGGAAGAGCGTCAATTGAAAAGTGGCATCCTTTTTATAATGGGGCCCAAGCCAGTCTTGATGCCAAAGTATGACTGCATATTTTTCTGTTTAGTTTTGCAATCTTCCACCAAGTGAATTCGGTACCTCCAGGTTCAAGCTTTGTGTGACCGTCGGGTCTTGAGCATCCTTGCAGCTGTAGCGACTTGGTTGCAACACAAAAAAAGAAGCGTCGCAGAGGCACAAAGCATGTCTCAAAGCACCACAAAAACCAAGATAGTCACAGAATTACCAAGCCTCAGATTCGCCACAGAACTGGCACGACCAAAGACACATTAGAATCATTAGAATATCTAATGCATTAGACACATTTAATCTCCAATCTCAATGATAGGCCGTGTTGAAACTTGAAACATGTTGAAGCATTGATTGAAGCTGTGCAGAAGCATGTTCAAAATTGTTCAAACAGATTTCAAACAGGTGCTCATTTCGTTCTACTTGGCACTTGGCGATTCGATCAAGAGCAGCTTCTGCCTTCTGACAGCAGCCACTTAGCCCGAGAATGGCCTAACAAGAGTTTTAAGAGTTTTTGAGTGTGCATAGTGATTTGATGTGATTTGGTGGTTTGGGTGGGTTGTGGATCTCTCAATGCTTCCGTAGGATGTTTGTCATGTTCTTGCTTCCAACTTTCCTGAGAGGTGGCCAAATCTGCCATTGCCTTCTCGCTGGGAGCTCTTTGCTCTGCGGCACTACCGCATCCACAGGACGAGTCGCTGAAACTTGAAACGAGTTGAAACATGTTGAAATTCTGTCGCTGAAACTGGACGCGACTTCCACTGTCGGCCTCAGCAGGTCACTCTCAGTCATAGTCACATCGTCACATCGTCACATCGTCACATCATCACATCATCACATCATCACATCATCACATCATCACTGCACTTTGTCACTGCACTTTGTTACAAAAAATGGTGCCCGTTGAATCGCTAGGAGACAGCGGAAGCAGCTCCGACATGCTCCTGTGGTATGAACTGTGGGTCTTCAGCAGAGGGATCATGCCCATATGGCATGGAGCTTACTGGTTCCTGCTTTCACCACAAGACTGTAGCACAACCAGTAAGCACAACATGGGAAACTGTGGCAGCAAGCGGCAAACGCAGGCCAACACTAGAGCTGCTTGCAGAGCTTTGTGCGAAAACGAGGTAATGACTTTTGGTCAGATTTGGATGTGCCGGAAAAGGTTCTGGACACAGACGATCCAAAGGACTCTTCTGGTGATGTCCAGAAAACTTTAGAGGCAGTTACGGTAGTTTGCTCACTCGGTAGTTTCTCGCTGTATGCTTTGCATAGCGAGATCAGCTTGACAGGACTTGATCGACGTCCTCTTTCTCAAAAAGCGCTGAGTACGGTCTCATTTTTGGAGCTTTGTGCAATATGGTTGCAGAAGAAAAGGTTATTGCCACATACATTGTTTGGCGACGGGAAGAGCACATTGATTTGGTGTGATCGCTATGAAGACCGGATGGACTCTGTTTATGGATACCTAGTTGGATTTCATGTGTTAAAACATGTTGAAACAATATACTAGCCCGAAGAAGGAAACAGCAGATGCTTTCAAAACCTTTCTGATGTTTGGTTGCAAAAGGACCCGGGTTGCAGCCGGTTGCATTCAGTGTGATGCTTCCAGCAAGTTTAACATACCGAACACAGAATGATGCACACGTATAGGTCTGGCAATGCGGTGCCTCCCCACCTTGTTGCAAGAGGAGATCTGTTTTTCCCTGTGGACAAGCTGGTTGATAAAATTTGGCAAAAGCGGTTTATTTCTAGTTCTCAGACCCGAAGCGCGGACAGACAAATAAAGTTTCGTGGTTCAGACATGTTCAGACTCGTAAAAGAGTAAGCTTTGAGTGTGTTGTCTCTGTGTTGCCTCTAGAGCAAAGGAAGGAAAGGATTCAAAAGGATTCAGCTTTGAGACTTCACAGGACATGGCGAGCCCCCTTGGACTTCAAGTTTACTGTGAACAAACAGTTCCTTGGATCAGTTCTTTGTTTGACCCAGCATCGTGTAATTTATTTTCATGACTGCCAAATCCTACTAGGTGGGGTAAAGTCTACAAGCGTCCACTTCAAATCAGAATGTACTAAGGACAATGCGTGCACCGCAGAAAGCTTCTAGCCAGTCTCACAGCTAGCAGTGAATGCGGTGAATGCAGTGAGCAAGCTGTCCTCAAAGTCGAGATTGATTTGAGTGCACGGAGTGCACTCTGAGAAGAGATGCTGTGCCTTGGATCGTCCGCTACACCACTGCAAATTGTGCACATTGTGCACATTGAGCACATCGTGTTCAGGTGTGACAGTGAAGGAGACGCCCGTCTAGCCGACAAATTTGACATAACATGACATAACGAGAGTGCATCATGCCGTGCATCATGCCGTGCATCATGCCGTGCATCATGCCGTGCATCATGGGCAGCAAGCTCCTCTGCGCCAAAGTTGATGAATTTCATGCTGTTTGATCTGTTTGTATTATTTTGTACTTGTGTCACTTTGATGCCAGCTTTTTAGTTGATGGACCGAATGACATGTTTAAAACATGTTTAAAACTGTTTGCCTTCCAAGAGTTTTCCCAGTCGATTTGCAGACTAGCCTTGTCTTTGCCGAAGTTTGGCCATGAGTTCGGACTTTGAAGTCCTTCGGAGTCCTTCGGAGTCCTTCGGAGTCCTTCGGAGTCCTTCGGAGTCCTTCGGAGTCCTTCGGAGTCCTTCGGAGTCTTGTCCATGGGGTCCGCTTTCTTCATTCTGTCACTCTCTCAAAACAGCTCACTTGAGTCATGGACAAGCAAATTACTGTAACAGATCAAAATACATGGATTCTTGGCGATTCGCCACGGCATTGACAGCCGCTGGGCCACTCATGGAGCCACGCCTTTGGCAGACTATTCAACCCTTTCACGACAGCCAGGCAGATCATTAACACGCCATGGCAAACCCACAACAGATGCCACTGAACTGCGCAGCCAACATGCTAAGCCCTGCTAAGCTTGGATTGTCTCAAGTTGTCTTGCCTGTCATAGACTTTATCCATTCCGCAACTGAGGCACGGTCTGTTTGTGATAGTCTGCACTTTTAGTATTTGTGCAATTTTTGCAAAGTATGTCTTTTGAAAGCACCAAACCGTTGTTGAAAAGAAGAAAAGGATGCAAAGGGCAACTCATCTCCGACATTGACAGTTTCAGGTGCCTTCTAATGCAAGCATCAAGTATCGCAGTGTGCTCGTCGAGTTGAGGCGCTTCGCACGACCTTCTCCCCATCATCAAAATCAGAGGAAACAGCTGTGGAATTACGAGCGACCCTTGGTGAAGGTGAGCGTTTCGTGAGTTTGCAGCGTTTGCTTTGCAATATTTTGCAATTCGTTTGTTGCTGCAAAACAAGTTCTGTTTTTGTGTTCATGGAAGTTCATGGAAGTTCATGGAAGTTCATGGAAGTTCATGGAAGCATCTGTGAATCGCATTGATGTCATGCAGTCATGCATCACTCGGCATCACTGTCACAGTGTGCCGCGATGCCATGGGATGCCATGGGATGCCATGGGATGCCATGGGATGCCATGGGCCATGGGAGGCATGTGCGTTTGCGTCGTGGGCGATGCTCCCAATGAGCTCAGCCGAGCGGTTGCGACGAAGTGCTCCGAGGCCCTGGGTTCCGAGGCGGGGGTAGCCGAAAACGTTGAAGCAGTGCGGAACCGTCAAAAAAGGCCGATAAATAGCCTATAAATGCAAAAGGAAAGGAAATAACAAGAAATAACAAGAAAATACAAGAAGTAGACATGAATTGATAGGGTCAACGCAGAAAGAAAACAAAGATTTGAAAGCCTTAGTGGTAAAGACAAAGATTTTTTTTTAAAGATATAGCAAAGATGTGCAAAGATGAGTTTCTGAGTTGCAAAGACAGTGTCTGAGTCGTTTCTGAGTCGTTTCTGAGTCGACAGGCGATCTTTGTGACGTGTGGGCAAGATTCTGCCCACAGCTTTGCAGACTGGTGCACCTCTGAGGCGAAGTTTTGAAGTTTCCACAGAGGTTTTTCCCGTTTTGTTCCACGTTTTTCCACGTTTTTCCTGTCTATTTTTTGACACATGAGATAAATTATGATAAATTGCTGTTGTAAGTTATTGTAGTTGCATTTGTAGTAGTAGATATATGTAGATATTATGATATGATAGAAGTGATAGAAGTCAGGCAGGGGTTGGAAATGGTCAGCTCCGCTGCTCCAAATCTCGATGTACTTTTTTTTGCTGACTGAGGGGTTTGCTGACAGGTGTTCCATTTGATTCCAACTTGGGATTCTACTGGCTTCCGTGGGACAGATCTGGCAATGGGCACAGACCTACAAGCTGCTTGGTCTAGTGAAAGGTTCGTGGCGATAGAGAAGCTTTATCTTTCAACACATTTTTCAGAACTTTCGTCTTCTTCATGTTCGGGCCATCTATGGGTTTCATTCACGTTTCATCTTCATTCATCTTCCAATATCTTCAAGTTATTTCACCTTCTGCATTTTGTGGGTTTCGAACAGGATTACAGAAATACAGAATGGTACAGGCATCATTTCGATTTTCAGAATCTGGGAATCTGGCCTTTGAGGACTGCTGCAACATCCTCGGTACTTTGGGTGATGTATTCGTAGTTTTTCCTGGTGCAGAGCCTGATGTGCTGAAAAAGGCCTCTGATCGCTCTCGAGTGACTTGGCTAGATGAATCCAAACAAATCCCATTGACGTCGTCAATGTCAATCTTCATCAATCTTCTCTGTCTCTTCTCGCGCTTTGTTTTCTCATGGAGACTTCACTCACGTTTCTATTTTCCCGTTTTTGATGCGCGTTGGACTTGGAATGCCGCATTCCAGGCGATACTTCCCTTGCTCAATGCAGAGCCGTCCCTTCCGAAGCCATGGTTTGTGACAGAGGACCAGAAGCAAGGGGTTCAAATGGGTTCAAATGGGTTCAAATGGGTTCAAATGGGTTCAAATGGGTTCAAATGGGTTCAAAGTTTGAAGTTCAAACGAATCTTTTGCTATGGACCAACCATGCATTCAACTCATAAACAGCGCAAGAAGTGATGTCTGATGATGCCTCCGGCCTCCGCGTTACAATTGCTTTTCTTCAATTTGCTGCACGTTTGTCTATTGTCAGATTTGTCAGTTGTTAGAGCCCTTTGCTCTAGCTTGGCTCTTTCACAATATGACTGGTTTCGGTTTTGCTTTTGCAGGATCAATGGAAGCTTTTCTGTGACCCAGATGCTCCTGCGGCCAAGGTGAGGTTCAAGACTACCCGATACAAAAATCGGACTGCTTACAGTTGTCATGCATGTGAAGTTGAAACTCTTCCTGTCACTTCTGTAAGGTGGCCACCGCATGTGCTGCTGCTTTGACAAGCTATGATGCGCATCATAAAGCATAATTCTCAGACCGAAGTCACAGTGCATTGGAGCCTAATCAAAAACTTTTAAATTTTGGCAATTTGGTCTGGTAGAAGATGGTAGAAGTAAACTCTTGATTTTGCAAGAAATTGACTAGATCTAATGGATCGACTACGACTTCCAAATTACATGGAGATTGTGACGTAGGATGTGCATGATTGAAATCCGGACCCAAGAACTTGAACTTTGAACCTGTGAATTTCATGTTATCCAGACAAAGGTCAGAGTCATAGTTTTGCCTAGCTGAATGGACTTAGCCAATCACTTGAGTCTCCCAGGGCGAGGGTTTCACGTCTAAGTGATGACAGCAACATACCACCCCCCCTCACGCACACGCGCAACACACTTTATGCTTATCCTTGCTCTGCTGGCTTTGATGCAAGGCAGTGACGGAGCCAGAACTATGCGATGAGCTCTGCTATGTCGATGCTGATGCTGAGAGGCATTGCTGCATTGTGCTGGACTGGGTCTTACATGGTCTTACTGCGTCTTGAATTCACCAAAGTTCTTGGGACATGTTGCCTTTGTTGATGTATGTTGTTATGATTTGCTATGCTGGCTATGCTTCTGAAGCCATTTGTAACGTCATGTAACGTCATGTAACGTCATGTAACGTCTATGCCTGGGTGATAGAAATTCCACAGGATTCCAAACATGGCAGGTGGGCGCAGCTGGCGGAAGTTGCCCAGACAGATGTGCCAGATGTGGCCAAGGGGAAACTGTCAATCACCCAGAGACTTGAAGATGTTGAAAGCCAAGAAAGCATTGTGAGGAAAAAACATGTTCAGAATTCACAATGCTCAAAATTAGGGGAAAAAGGCTCAAAAGCTTCAGCATAGTGACAGGAACCATAGCGATTCCATGCGATTCCACTTTCACAGCTGTCAAACGGTGTTAGTGAAACGGTTTAAACTTTTTTAAACGTGTTAAAATTTGTTTGAATTTCTTTAAACATGTGTTAAATTTCTCAAAAAATCTGTTTGCAGTTTTGCAAATCTCATTCCGTTCCCTGGACTTCACCTGAGGCGATTGCAGGGCAGCTTCCAGGGGACCGCGACGACGCATACACATCAGCCTCCTCGGCTTCGTTGAACGCTAAAAAAACCAAATCTTTGAGTCTTTGAGGACGAGGTCTTCGAGGTCTTCAAAAGCTGGGTGAAACCAGTTCTGAAACATTTTTGGTGTGAAACATTAGGTGAAACATGGTGTGAGCTGTGTGAACCCTTCTCATGCGTCGTGCGGAAGGGGGGAGGGTAGGCGTATATGGTTGAATCATGGTGAATTCTATCTATCAGAAGCCTTTGGAGTCTTGGAGTGAAGCCATGCCAGGATGGACCTGAGAGTTGGGGTAAACATGGAGATGCCCTCCAAGGCCGATAGATCTTATTCCATGCAGAAACAGTTTCAAAAAAAATCATAAAATCCAAACTGATCACGCGATTTGGGAAGGTAGCTGCCAAAACAATGAAGCAGCTATCTGACTCTGGTGGCTTGGCGGAATGTTTTTCATTGAGTGCCTGTGAGTCCTGTGAGTGCTTCTTGGTCAAAAGACAACAATCACTGGAACCTGGAGTCTGCTCATGCCAAAAAAGAGATTTGAAGCTGGCAAACTGGTGCTTGTTTGATTGACTTGACATGACTTGACCTACTTGATCTCATACATATCTTTGTTTTTCAGTTCACACACGTTTACACACATTCACAAGGTCTCGTTCCGACTGAAGCACAAGAAGCTTTGGATTCGAAGCGCCGTGGAGTCTTTGGCACTGCCCTCGGCATTGCATGACATTCCAGGGCATTAGCTTCTTGTGACCGAAGGATGAAAGGAGTAAAGGTATCGAGGAAGGTCAAGCATGTGTCGGACCACGAAGACACAACATGACAAAATGATACAAATGATACAAAATGAGAAAACAAAACAAGTACAGTATACAAAACAAATGCGATGTCCATTGCGAGGTGCCCTTGCAGACTACTTTCGGAAAGATTCACAGGACAGTTTCACTATGCACAGCCTTCTGGTCCTGACTTTGCTCCAGCAAACAGCAGTGTGTTTGCCACAGTCGCTGGACAAAGAGGTTATGACATATACACTACATATACTTAGTTGATCTTGGTTGTAAAAGGCTATCAGAATGCTGCAAAACGCTGCAAGCTGCGGAATATTGGGGGGTGGACTGGGGTTGCAGCCGCGTGGCCAGGATGCCGCCCCAGACGTCTCCTCGATGATCATGAACGGTATGCAGGTACCTGACATTACCTGATGCTTTTTGGATCTTTTCGGATTTTTTCGGATCCTTTCGGATTTTTTTCGGATCTTTTCGGATTTTTTTGGATCTTTTTGCTTCCAACCTTTTTTCACTGTTTCGATCACTTGGACGCAGATGAAACTGGACGACGTCCATGCAGCCTACGAGTCTGCCCAGCAATTTGGACATGTGCTGAGCGTGAAACTTTCTGGACGAGACTTTGGGTAGTTCCGCTCAGATAACATTACCACATATTCACACAGATCAAGCGTAGCAAAGGACAAATACAATGCGTAGAAATACGTAGAAATACCTAGAAATACATCTATCTTTGTAACTTGCAGTATTTGCATGCAAACACACACACACACATCTTATATTACATATATATGAAAACACCATGCGGTGTACATGAATAAATAAATAAACAAATAGATAAATAAACAAATAAATAATGAACACATATATAATATGATATATATATATATAAACATAGATAGAAGTGTTTATTTGAGAATAATTTCAACTATCTGTTGATTTACATGTCTATTTGCCCTATTCGCATTTTTTCACATGCTAGATTTGCTCGTTTTCGATATTGTTGCCAGGGCGCAGCAGGAAGAGCTTCAGCACGCGCTAGAAGCAGCAAGAGCAGAGGCGCACCTTTCCCTTTCTACCTTCAAACGTGGTGTCGTTCTGTAATTCACTTACCCAATGTTTCTAGGTTTCCTCTGCATATTTGAAATCAGTTCATATTTCTACCTACCGTCTACCTGGACCGTCAGAATCTGTTCGTGTCGTGTGAAGGCCAACAGCATGAGGCGAAAATTGAAGGAGCTGCAAGAGGCCAACGAGGCCAACGAGGCGAAGGAGGTGGAGCAGGCCTGAGTCATTCATGAGTCGTTCAGGGGAACTTTCGCTGAAATCGTTCACTTCCCTGGAATATTCTCGAACTTTCAGATCTCAACTCTTTTTTTTTGGATTTCAAACTGGGAAGCGTTTCAGATGCCACAAACAAGACTGCAGGAGGACTTTTACAAGGAAGTTTGCAAAGCAGCTATTGAATTCATTTTCTCCACCTAACCTGAGATGACGAGAAGCGCATTTGGTATCATTCAAGTTGAATCAGATTGAATCAGATTGAATTGAGTTCAACCCATTAAGCATCATTTAGCAGGTTTCTTTTGGGTTGAACTTGTTTTTGCAGTGAGCCTTGGAGCTGGGAAGGACTCAAAAACTACAAATGGCATTGATGTGAACAAGGCAGGTTGAAGCCGAGAAGACTTGGGAGAAGACAGGATTGTTCTGACAGTTGACCTTTTGTTCCCAATTGAACAGACAATTAGTACGTTCAACATGTTGGGTAGACGTGGGGGGGTTGTCAGAACCGCAGCGTCTTCTTGATGAGCATGTTCTTGTGCACCCAGCATGTTGTATATTATCCCTTGCCATTACATAATGGCTTTTGAAGTGCAAGTCCAATCGGATTCATTCGGATTCAATGCCTTGATATATCTTGACATCATTAAAAAGCTACTTGGACCATCTTGGACCAATGCCTTGACCTTGTTTGGCAGGATGTGTTGGACGAGTTGCAAAGTTGGGGCGCCAGTTTCAGTGGCCCAAGCAGAAGCAAAGATGAACTCCATATGGCACACAACATGACACAACATGACGCAATACACTTGAAAAAGCAAAGATTCATCAATTGTCACTTTGTGTTTCAATGATTTTCAATGCACACTTGAATCCAAGGTCGTGTGGCAATCCAAGATGCTGAACTCGCCATGAAGGCGTCCCATTCCCAAACGAACTTGGAGACGGAGCTGTTCCAAGGCTCTGAGGTATCAGTAGGCCCAGTAGGCCAAGGAGTTAAAAATATGTACAGGTATCACCGCATCATAGTGACAAACATATTGCACATCTCATTCCTCATCAAAATGCCTATCAAATTCCTCACACTGCCCTTCACATTTTGCATCACGTGTTTGTATCAGTTGTATCAGCGCCAGTTGGCATGGGTACATTGGGTACAGTAGAGGTCTGGGCGAACACCTTACAGACCCTTCCTTACTTGGGCTCTGCGACGAGATATAAACCACAGTATAGACGCAAGCTGAACTTGTGGAAGCTCATGATGTGTTCAATTTGTTCCCCATGTGCATCAATTTAAACTTAAAACCCAATTTTTCTTTCTGACAGCTGACAAAGCATTTTTTGAGCAAGAGTCGCGCTTCTGTTGCATGGAGCACCGCAGTATCGAGCACAATTTCTCCAACACTTCTGCAGACGCGCGCGCAGGATACTCCCATAAAGCACACTACAGTGCGGGCACTGGTCAATCACATTCCTTGCAGTAGGCAAAGTCATACCGCCACATCAAGCCACACCAAGTCACCACTACTCGTCAGCGCGTATACTGTACATGAATATCCTGAGCAGACTTGATACCTACACAGGCAAGTTAGAAGGTACGGACAGGGGGCGCATTTGCACAGAGCAGGTGTTGTTGACAGATATTGTAAGACCTCCTGAAATCTCTTCAAAAAGTCGAGTGGCAGTGTTTCCAGCGATTCTTGGCCTAGTCGCAACAGCTGGAAGCTGTTTTATCCTCGCTCTGCAGTTTCTAGTTTCGGATGTGTTGCCACGTCAGGCTAAAGAATTGGAAGCCACGATAAGCAGCTACAAAGCAGACATGCAGGACGCGGCATGCAACAAACAGCACACTTGCAGTTTAGTCAGTTCACTTGTGGTGTTGCAATTTTTGGCATGCCATAGTTGTAGCGTAGAAGTTTCAGGGCGAGTCATGGGTGCCAACCTTAAGGCAAAGTGTTCTGAATATCTTTGCAGCTTTGGGAATCAACTCCAAATACAATGAAAAGTCCCTTGGAAATTGTTGGCCAGGAGCAGCAAAGACAGGCAGCCAAGGACCGATTGGTAGCCCCTTTGGATATCTTTGGATGGCTTTGAAGACTTTCAATGCCGACTTCCTATGTCCTACACGTCCTACGAGTCCTAGAAGTCCTACACGTTTCTTCATCTCTGCTGATGGTGCACTAAAGACTTGACGACTTTCCAAAGCGCTGCACTGCCAGGACTTTGCCGCGCTGAATCGCTTGGAAGCAGCTTTGATTGAGGCCGAAATGCAAAGCGTGGCGTATGCGAGACATCCTTGTGGGTCCTTCTAGTCCCCGCTTTTCATTTTGGCGATATTAGACTAGAATTCCGGAAATGAGTGAAGAAAGCCCTCTCAGCTTTTAGATTGTCACATGGTACTGATTTGTCTTTTGTTTTCTTTCCATTCCTTCATTTCCTTCTTCCAGATTTATACAGGCCCATGGCAACTTGGAGGCAGGAAATCAAAGATCAGTTCCTTGTCACCTCTCACCGCCTCTCACCATTTCTAGTCAAGATCTGTGCCCAGGCCGTTGAGCAGGAGAAGTGGCATTGAATTCAGAATTGAACGAGCTGAAAGCGAGCCAGGGGATCCAAAGACAGCTCGACAGCTCGACTCAGCTCGCTCTTGCGTGTTATTGCTGGTCGTTATTGGAGATGAAGCAAGTGGAGTCTCTTTGCCCCTAGATGACTGTGCAAGTTGTCGCTCTTTAGTTGATCAATTTGGTGATGCAAAACAGGATGGGGACTCATGGTGTGCATGAACTTTTGTTTTGTTTAGGTCGTCTTTTGATGTCTCTTGGTCATATGAGTCATATTGTAATGTAGATTGTTCTGTTCGTTTGCATGGCTCCTCAAGCTACGAAAGCTACGCAAGCTATGCATTCTGTTTGTATCAGAATTGTATCAGAATTGTATCAGAATTGTATCAGAATTGTATCAGAATTGTATCAGAATTGTACCATGTTTCGACTCATTTCATCTTTTGAAAATCATTTTGCTAATTTTGCTTCAGAGTTTTGTATCTTTCTGTTGACGTAGATGACCCGTGCTCTGCCCAGGCCATGCACGGGCTTGTGGTGAATTGGAGTCGCTGAGGGTGCCATCGTCAAGCTCTCAGAAGGGCTTCCAAGGAACATCAAAGAACCCTCGAACCAAGCTCGAACCAAGCTCGAACCAAGCTCGAACCAAGCTCGAACCAAGCTCGTTGAATGACTTGTTAGTTGAATGAATCCGACAGTTTCATAGCGTTCATGGTTTGTATCGCCATTGTAAGCAGATGAGTCGTAGTTAAGCCTGTTTTTCAGCTGTGCCAGCAATGTGCCCTTTAGTAGAAACTGGAGGCCGAGTGCGAGGAGACAGGCTAGTCGTGCTGTCAATGAATTGTGATGATGGTGATATTGCTGTTTTCGAGAGTCATTCGAATAGGAATCAACTTGGTCATCTTGGTCTAGGCTACCTAGGTTTGGGTTCTGGGAATATGATGTATGCCAGACTGCACAGCATGAGAGCTCTTGCTTCCACGATCTTCCAGAATACAATCATTGCAGTATCTGCAATAGCTACAGGCAAGGTAGGCTTCCGGGCCCCTGGGTTTGTCGCATTTGGCGCCTTCAGTGCCCTTCCAGGCTGAGGCAACGCTCCAAGACAAACAGCAGGAGCATGGGCCTTGGAATGCTATATCACGCCCAATCTTTGCACCTTTTATAACTTTTTCATAGCTTTTCCATCGTTTCAGAATCTTTTCCCACTTGATTTCATCTTCACCTGAGGTGTGAAGGCTTGGCCCAGAAGCTGGCAGTGGCGGAGGCTGTGTCGAGGGATGCAAAGCGGCGCTTGGAGGAGCCGCAGCGGAACGGCCACAACCGCCACGCTGCCTTTCTAACTTTAATGCTTTGCAGAATGTGCTTTGCAAATCTTTGCAAACTCAAATCTGCTCAAATCTTTGCAACTGCACAAAATGCAATCTGCGGTGTTTACGCTTACGCACAGTGGAGTTCTCGGCTTCAGCTGCCAGGAATTGGAAGTCCAGCTCTCGCAGCTTGCGGGTCGGGAGGCTGAAGCCAAAGCTCGTGTCCTGGAGGCTACGGCGCGGGTTTGGGGGTTCTTCAGGTTTCTGTCCTGAGTTGTGATTGGGAAGTTCAGTCATAGTAATATATGTCATTATGTATATATATGTATATATATATATGTATATATATATGTATATATATATAATAATATAATTAGAGTAAGATGTTGTATACTTTTGTTGAGTTCATACTATTTTGTTCATCTTCACTGGACTTCTTGCCCAACAAAACAATGAGGCAGTAAATGGCAGGGCGAAGCCCGCATGCCAGGCATCCAATCAGTTGGAGGAAAAGACTGAGGAGACTGAGAGGCCATGTGTTTCCATTCGGCCCAACGAGCTTAATGTCATGACAATGTACGTCGGTGCACCGCACAACTTGAAGGCTAAGAGCAGAGAACCAAGAGATCCGTGAGACATTGGCAAAGATCACCATGTCTCCTGGCCGAACCCCCTATACGAATACCATCCTATCCCGACCTAGAACTTAGAGTGCATCAGAATGCTCAACTTCGCCGAACTTTGCCGAACTTTGTTGAACCCCCCGAACTCAGCCTGTGCCAAGAATGTGCTCAGCCTGTGTCTTGAGGTCAGAGAAGCGGCTTTCTTCCACAGTGGCTGAGCTCAGTGGTGCTCACCTTATCATTTGAACTTGTGCAGCAACTTGAATTTTGCAACGTGCTGTCATCTCCGTTCATTTCACAACGCAAACGAACCTTTTGAATGATTTGACAAACTGACAAACGGTTTTGAAAGTTTTCACGGACTCCTCTTTTTGTGCAGCTGCTAAGAACGCTTATCTGCGAGCGCTAGGCCAAAGTGGGGGCGTTTTGGGTTGCAGTGCGTAGCTTCAACGGCTTTGAGCATGGCTCTGACTGACAGGCCACAGACACGGAGTTCAAGTGGCTCCATCAGCAAGGATCTGGGAGGGTGCAAAAGGTGCACAATTCAAAGCAAAAACCAATGTAGTGATTATTCTGGCGAAAAACCCAAACATGGTTTGTGCGGTTATTTCTACTGAGGTGTAATCAGTCCATGGCCTTGGGTGCATAACCACAAAGTTGGTTCGAATATAACCAAAGTGTCCTCAATCCTGAGACACACTTTACCAGTATTTCAAGTATTTCCAGAAGCTCTTTAAGAGTTCCGAAAAATCACGAGTTTCTTCAAAATTGGTAGAGTGCGATGTGGTGTCAGTTGGCTGGACTTCTGCTCGGGGGCAGGAGCTGCAGCAACAGCATCAGAAACTTCAGGCTCGATATGGCCGGACAGCCAAAACTATGTAGAATATTGCAGAATACAAGAACTGCCACAGCAACACAGAACCAACACAGCTGTTCCTCAAATCGGCGAACCGACTCGCTTCATTTCCGCAGTGACAGAAGATCATTGCAGATATTTGCAGATGACGCCCTGGTGCACTTGCAGGCTGAACATGAGAACTGCTTGAAGTCTTTGGATGACTTGCAAGGAGAGCGCGAGGACACCCAGTGAAGACTGTTGTAGATCCCCCATAGAGGGCGAAATCTTGCAGAGCCACAGATCGGACTGGATGCATGCCGCATACTTTACTTCCACATCTTTGCCCCGAATTCCTGATGCAGGTGCAAATTGGCAAAAGGAAATGGAGTCCCTGAAGCAAACTTGTGTTCGGCTCAGACACTGCCACTGTGGACACAGGCCGCATTGCATAAATATTTTCGACATGTGATTCGGAACAGAGAGTATTTGGGCCTTTATTGTCTCCTCCTATAGCTGGTGGATTTTGACTTCGGGCTGAAGAAGTTCCAGGTATCATATTCTTGTGCAGCCTGCACAAGGTTTGCTTCGATAACATTTCATGTTGGAAGCTTCAGCCGGTGAAATTCGATTGTCAATCTGCAGGCAGCCAGCTGCGAAAAGAAGCAGACCAGGTCAAAGACTGAGAAAGACTTTCAAAGTACGCAAGAATGCCCATTGACGAGAACGACTGAGAAAGAGACTGTCGTTTAGAAAACAGAACGTTTTAGCCTTAACATTCGCTTCCAGTTCCTCCCGTCAAGGCAAAAACTTGCCTGGCCACAGAAATTGCTGGGAAAGCCGCTTCTGTCGCTGGGACAAGCTTAAAATGGATTTGGTTGAGTTATGGACACATGAAAGCGCGGTCTTTTCTAGCTCAAAGCGGCTTAGCCGCTATTTGAATCCCTAGGTTGCCCAAGTTGCGCATGAAAAGGAAGTGGCAACTGGCTTAAAGAAGGCGTATAGATTGCACTGGGGAGCGCCAAGCAGTGCAGACGGGTCCCAGACGAGACGGGTCCAGACGGGTCCCAGACGGGTCCCAGACGGGTCCCAGACGGGTCCCAGACGGGTCCCAGACGGGTCCCAGACGGGTCCCAGACGGGTCCCAGACGGGTCCCAGACGGGTCCCAGAGATGGGCCCCTGAGTTGGTGCACCATGCTGACACCGCGGAGGCTTTGGCTGAGGCGCAGCATCATTCTGCCCAGGTCAGCAGGAGGCTCAGACCGGGACAGGCTGCATCGACATGTGTGGACTGCGTTGCAGATTAGTGAGGCGATGATTGACAAAAAATCACAAGAAATGGCACCGGCACTAGTATGTGCTAGAATGCACTAGTCATGACACTATTCACAATTTCAAGGCTCAGAGTCTACACTTCTCGCTTCAAAGATCAAGGACGCTGTTCTGTGCGCATAATACAGTACCAAGCGAGTAGTTGAGGATTTGTTGTGTGTTCGTCCTGAGACATCGATAGGATCTTGAAGCAAAGCTGCAGTCTTCTCCTCAGACTTGAACCACTTTGTCAACCAGGTTTAAGTTCAAGGAGTAGAGGGCCTGTAGACAGCTGGGAAACTGTTGTTTCTTGCAAAGTTTGGAGTGAGAGGTACTGCAATTTCCAGGGGCTTGAGCAACTAGTTGCGTTTAGCTGCAGTTACGCTAGTCGCACATTCCGTGAATGTCTTCAGGGACGTTGAGTCTGAAGCCAGTGAGCCCGATGCCTCAGGGTTTTTGGAACATGCCGGTGTTGAAGCAGCAATGATAGTAATCAGTGAGTTTTTCACTTCTGTGTCGTTTTTTGGGTTTTGGCCACCAGCCATACACAGCCACTCATTGCACTGGAGATATAGAGCATAGAGCCATATCGAGCAATGAGCCAGCCCAGTCACATCACAAAAAAGAGATGTCTTCCAGGCGTGCCCAAGAGCTGAGTCGCGCGGCAGGGGAGGAGACCAAGTAGTAGCAGATTTGACATGACGCGATTTTGAATTTTGTAAATGTGTTTTAAAGCATTTAAAAGCATCATAGCCAAGGTCATCATGTTGTCATCCTGCTTGTTTGTGTTTGTTGTTCAAAATTCATTGCTAGAGGATAGTTCTGATGTTCGTACTATCTTATTGGTTTTTGCAGTGTTCATTTAACGCCTGCAAAAAGCATGTAGCTGAATTTTTGAAGGACTCCATAGGACTCCCAATAGGACTCCCAATCCTCAGTGTCGGATTCAACTTTCATCAACTTTCAATAAAGCGCAAGGAGAGTGAGAGTGCTGAACTGCGCCGGCAGCTGAAGCAGGCGAGAGGGTCTTCCCAAGGTTCCAGTCGCCATGAGATGCCAATGCAGCGAATGCAATTGGAAGTTTGATGCTTTGAATCATTTGGGCCCAATAATTGAGCAACCTGTTGTGAACTGATGCATATGGTAAACTGATGCATATGGACTTTGCCAACTATTGCACGATACGTTTCAAACCTGGTTTCCAGATGTTTCAATTAAATGCTCGAAATTCTAAGTGTTCCGTCTCAGGCAGTGGAGGAGCAGCTGCAAGCCCTTGAGAAGGCAGGAGTTGGTAGGAGCTCAAGCTGAGGGAACGCGCGGAAGATGCAGAATAATACAGATGGATTCAGATCGAGCAGATGGATTCAGATGGAGCTGTTGTAGCTGTTTCATGTTTCACAAACCTGAGATTGCTGAGATTGCTGAGCGAGGCAGCGTTACAAAATTGGCTCAAGTTTTTATTTAAAGCGCAGTATTTCTTGCTGCCTGGTGCCTCCAGGGATTCCACACGCACTTGTGCGATACCATTTTGCTGACCACTTTACTTCAAGGTGAAGCGAAACGATGAATCTTCCTCCATTCAATCCTGCATTGCCTCTTGTTGAATTACCTGCGGAGCATTACACAGATCTTCTGAGTGGAACAGTGAAATGCTGGTTCGAGGATCGAGGGTTTGGCTTTATCACACCTGATGGTGGCCAAGAAGATGTTTTTGTCCACAAGAAGGTTTTGAAAGATGGGCAAAGTCTCATCATTGGCAGCAACGTGATGTTCAATCTGATTTACGATGCAGACCGAAGACGCTTTCAGGCCACCCGATGCTTTGGTGCAACGATCCCGCCAGAGTCGCAGGTGCATGAACGGAAATGGCCTTTCTCTTTGGCAGATCCATGGCAAGAGCTTTACAGACCAGTTGGGGCTGAGCATCTTGGAACCCATTTGGATGGTGTGCCAGAGCCTCTCCAAAGTGAGAGCATGCCCGAAGCAGTCACAGCCAAAGCAGAAGTCAAGGATACGACAGAGACGACCAAGGTGAAGCCCACTTCCATTTACGAATTCTTCGAGGACGACGCAATGATTTGATTTTGACATTTGACCATTCTTGACCCATTTTGCTCATGATTCGATGAATTTGATTTCTAGATCAGTTTCTTGGCTTTGAGGATTTTGAAGTCAGTAGGGCTTGCTGGGAGACCGGCATTTCGATTTGCCACGGCTCCCGCCTGCGACTTTTGCGCAAGCCGGACCATAGACGCAAAGGACGCCAAGGAATGAAATGAGCGTTGCACAATCCTAGAGGTTTTGGTAGAGGGTAATTCCAAGAAGTCTTATTTTGGATTAACTCGTTGGTCGTTTGTCCACTTGTTCAACTTAATTTGCAGTGCTTCCATGAGTTTTCCAGTGTTTGTCCTTCTCAACTTGGAAGTCTTTGAAAGCAAGGCCAGCCAACATGAAGACCTCTGACAGCCCTGGTGCTGTCTGCGTTGAGTGCTTTGAGTTGTTTCTTTCTGTTTCTTTCTGCTTCGTCGCTTCGTCAGGCCAAAGTTTGGCAGCAGCACCTTCAAGCTGCCCAGGGTCAAATCGCCGCAAGGGTCCCGGCAAATCGGCATCGTTTCGACATAGACTCGTGCTGTGATTTCATTTAGCAAATCTTCGGCACCATTCGTGGCTATTGGACGCCCATTTCTAACCGTGTTGTGATTTCATCATTTTGATTCATTTTGATTTTCATGTCTTGCGTACTGGAAGTGAAACTCACCAAGAAAAGACTCCGAACAATGATTCCGATTGCTGCGAGTCGTTCCGCTGAGAGTTCGTGACAGCTAAAAATCTGACCCCTTGGTTTCAAATGCCAAGGATTTGACCAGTGAACTGGAGGCTCTAGGGTGAACACATCATGCACGACTCAAAGCACAATGCAGAGCATGATGTTCGCCAATTGTCTTTGGAAAGAGAATACTGCGCTATGAACACGGTGACTACCTACCGTTGACAAAATTCCAGACCCACTGGGATCGGTTCAGGCTTTGAGGAAATCAAAAGAGGGCGCAGAGGACTATGGAAATCATGTCAGCATGTATGCAGCACCCGATGTTCACCAATGATAAACACATTCAGTCTCATTCAGAATTGGGAACTTTTGGCGAGCATGTCCTTCCAGCATCCTGGATTCTGTTGATTTTCTTTTTGAGAAGAGTGGCTCTTGACACGCTTTGACCCAGCAGGAGCGCATAATGGCAGGGGCCCCAAGCTTCTTCTTCACCAGATCGCCCGTGCGTGAACTTCAACAATATGATATCATACCAGTAGTACCGCACAAGGCGGTGGCGGAAGTTTCAAAAATAGGAAACCTATAGGAGAGATTGGTTGTTGTGAATCACAGGTGGCAGAGCGAATCCACTAATGGACCGAAAGATGGTTTAACGTCGAATTATCCATCTGTCTATCCATCCATCCATCCATCTGTCTATCTATCTATCTATCTATCTATCAAACTATCTATCTATCTAACTACCTATCTATCTATCTACCTATCTATCTATCTATCTATCAAACTATCTATCTATCTATCTACCTATCTATCTACCTATCTATCTATCTGTCTATCTATCTATCTACCTATCTATCAAACCATCTATCTATCAAACTATCTATCTATCTATCTATCTATCCATCTATCTATCTACCTATCTATCTATCTGTCTATCTGTCTGTCTGTCTATCTATCTGTCTATCTATCTATCTAACCTAACCTAACCTAACCTAACCTAACCTAATCTAATCTAATCTAATCTAATCTAATCTAATCTAATCTATCTATCTATCTATCTATCTATCTATCTATCTGTATATCTGTATATCTATCTATCTATCTAATCTAACCTGATCTAATCTAATCTAATGTAATCTAATCTAATCTAATCTGGTCTATCCTATCCTATCCTTTCCTATCCTATCCTATCTTATCCTATCCTATCCTATCTATCCTATCTATCCCATCCATCCCATCTGTCCCATCTATCCCATCAATCCCATCTATCCCATCTATCCTATCTATATCCCATCTATCCTATCTATCCTATCTATCCCATCTATCCTATCTATCCTAGCTATCCTATCTATCCTATCTATCCTACCTATCCTACCTATCCTACCTATCCTATCTATCCTATCTATCTATCGATCGATCGATCTATTGTCTGTCAACCGATGCATCTATCTGTCTTTCCAACCATCTGCTTAGCTCTCTATCTGTCTATGCAGCCGCCTATCCATCAAACTGCCTGTCTATGTGTCTATCTGTCTATCTATCTTTCTACGTCTCTCTTTCCAGATCTGTCCATTTCCTTGTCTACCTGTCTGTCTTTCCACTTGTCTCTCGGTCTACCCATCTATCTAGTTGTCTACTGCTCATCCAGCTATCCATTCTTTCCACTTAAGTACCGAAGCATGTCACCCATGAATCTATCTGGTTCTTCATGTTTCCGTCTAGACACGGTGGAGAATCAACTGCCACCACGACCAGGCACCCTGCGGGCAGAAAAGGCACACTGGACAGATGTATAGTGTAGTGTTGTGTAATTAGTCCAGTGTTAAAATGTATTGTAGTCGTGTAGTGTCGTGTAAAGTAGTGTAATTAGTGTAGTGTAGTGTTGTTTAATGTACTGTAGTTGAGGTTGTATATGTATTCACCCCGCTTCGCGTGGGGTGGCCGCCCACACCGCAAGTTTATTTCGGTCCGTGAGAGGGGCTAAGGGTGGTTTTCCCCCGTGGGGGCTCCCCAAGCTAGGGAATTTTCACTTTTCCCCCCCGTGGGGGCTCCCCAAGCTAGGGAATTTTCACTTTTCCCCCCCGTGGGGGCTCCCCAAGCTAGGGAATTTTCACTTTTCCCCCCCGTGGGGGCTCCCCAAGCTAGGGAATTTTCACTTTTCCCCCCCGTGGGGGCTCCCCAAGCTAGGGAATTTTCACTTTTCCCCCCGTGGGGGCTCCCCAAGCTAGGGAATTTTCACTTTTCCCCCCCGTGGGGGCTTCCCAAGCTAGGGAATTTTCACTTTTCCCCCCCGTGGGGGCTCCCCAAGCTAGGGAATTTTCACTTTTCCCCCCCGTGGGGGCTTCCCAAGCTATGGAATTTTCACTTTTCCCTCCCTTGGAGGCTCTCCAAGCTGCGGAATTTCAAATAGCTAGACAACGACGCCTAGATAGTCCCCCAAATCCCGTGTTCTTTGAATGTGTTTCCATGTTTTTGCAATGGTTTCCTTCAAAGCACGGTACTTTACACTTTTGTCGCCATAAAACCGGTCGAAAACATCATGTTCGACAATGCTTCCAATTCCCTTATCTCCCCAACCGTTGAAAATACCGCTATTTACAGTGTTTTCTTCAATTTTTCCATGTTCCAATGCCGGTAGCCAACTCCAACATATATATAAGAAATCCTTCCAAAACATTGTTTTTGACAGTGTTTTTCCAATGTTTCCAGTCAAACAGACGGTAATTTACACGTTTTTTGCCATAAAGGCAGTAAATCCTTCCAAAACATTGCTTTTGACAGTGTTTTTGTAATGTTTCCAGTCAAGCATACGGTAATTTACACGTTTTTTGCTATAACGTCAGTCCAAAACACTTGTTTTTGCAGTGTTTTCAATGCTCTGGCATCCAAAAACCCTGCAAAATCTTGCTATGTACAATGTTTTTTTCATTTTTGGCCGTTTTTCCATTGCCGGAAAGCTACCAAAATGACCCAAAATTCCATTTCAATACCCTCTTGCGCTCAGACACCCAAAAATCCTCGAAAAATGTCGAAAACACCACCGTATTCTGGTCTCGGTGCGAAACCGTTTTTGGCCCCCCCCAGCTAAAGCTGATATAGCGACTGCTATATTAACAAATGTCATTGAGCATTTAGTGTTGCTGTTGCCCCCCAATAAGCACGCCTTCACCGCCAAAGCGGTGTGGGCGGATTTGTAGTTGTAGCGTGCTGCAATTTAATTAGCATAATGTAGTGTAATGTAGTGTAGTTGCAATTGTAGTTGTAGCTGTGGTAGTCGTAGTTGTGGTTGTAGTGTAATTGGTGTAGCGTAGCCTAATTAGATGTAATTCGTGTAGTGTAATGTAGCATAGCCGAAGCAAGTTTAGAAGTCAAACTTCCAAAAGTATGGACAGATGAAAAGCAGAGATGGGAAGATTCAGAGAAGAGAAGAGAAGAGGAGAGGAGAGGAGAGAAGAGAAGAGAAGAGAAGAAGAAAGAAGATCGAAAAAGAGAAAGTCTCAGAAGAAAGAAGATCCAGGTGCGCGAAAAGGTAGGAAAGTCGCAAAACACAGTGTTTTTCCAATGATTTGTGGCTCCGGAGGGTCGAAAAGTAGGCTCGCTAAAGCGGCGGGTGCGGAGCCAGCTGGCCAGATGAGAGATGAAAAAGTGCACGCCGTTGTGGCGCGAAGCACATTTGAAAGTGAAAAAGCTAAATGTAAATCCACCTCACGTTCGGAGCACTTTTGGAAGTTGAGATGTCGAAAAAGTGCACGCCGTTGTGGCGCGAAGCACGTTTCCAAGTCAAAAGTGGAAAAAACTGAGGGGCACGGGGCACTTTTGGACGTTCAGATGTCGTTTTGCGTGGCGGGTGCAAGGGACTATGCACCTTGTCAAAAGTGAGCAAAACGTGAGGGTATGTGAGGGTTTTGTCGCATTTCCAAAAACAATGGCAGGCGTGGGGCATTTGAGGAGGATCTGCAAAGATACATTTTCCGTGGCAGGCGCAGTACAATGCAAAGCATTGACTGACTTAAGAATTTAGCATTGAAATTCTCCGTTATTGTGGTGGCCATGGCTACATCGATAGGCCCCTTAGGTTTCAAAGGCTGGCATCAGCAAAAGGCTGATGGCGATGCAGGGAACCCACGCTTGGGTTGACAAGATGGCTTGGATGAGAAGGCACAGGGAACTTGTTTTTGCCTACGGCGCCATTAACGACCCCTGCGTTTTTGTCATTTTTGCTGATTGGATGCAAGTTGCTCTTGAAATTGATGCATTCGCAACTGACGTCGCGTCACTGGGTTGGGGTGGGGTGGGGATGTTAACGTTCATGTTAACTTAAGTCACATGCACAACTGACGTCACGTCACTGGGTTGGGGTGGGGTGGGGATGTTAACGTTCATGTTAACTTAAGTCACATGCACAACTGACGTCACGTCACTGGGTTGGGGTGGGGTGGGGATGTTAACGTTCATGTTAACTTAAGTCACATGC